AAGCCATTCAGGAAATTTTTAATAGTGTGTTGAGAGGATAATTTAATCTCAGCTTCATACACTCCCTGGATCTGACCCACATGCAAGTAACAGAAAATCCCTTTTCCCATTTTTGATAGTTGTATGATGACACTCATTCCCCATCTTATTTGGTGCTTGTGCATTAGATCATGCCAGAGAAAATTACACTCAGATTTAGCAACTGTTTGCACTACCAGCAATACAGATTCTTTTAAAGAATCTAAATATCAGTTTCTAAATGATGGGTAGTTGTTTTTTAGTGGTGTGAGGGGTGTTTTTGTTGGTTGTTTTATTACTTTGAATGAGAAGATCTGCGAAGAACCAGTAGGTTTTTGTGTTGAATATTCACTTTCTAGTCTTTGCTGTTAGTGTCAGCTGTGAAGATCATAGGGGCTGTAACTGGTCTCCTGCTTGGTTTGTTTGTTTTTAAAGTGCCATATATATTCAATGAGGGAAAAACACAGTGTAGCTATGTTTGACAGCAAAGAGAAGTTTTTATAGATGTTACTGTGCTAAGTGTATGGGATACCAGATGACTATAACATAAAACAAGATTTATGTCTGGAATTGTAAATAACTTTGTTTATTTCTCAGTAATAGAGGACAGCTTTCCTCTTGGCCTCCACAACCATTGTGGAAGCCTGCGTGGCTCTTGTTCCCAGTGAAATGGGGAGACACAGGATGATGGATGCAGAAATCTGTTTGTTGTTTCCATTTTGTGCTCACATGGTATTTGTTTAACTCTGGTTCTCATATTTTTGTTGGATGTATTGGTTCCTTGAAATGTCATTTGTAGGGACAAAGCATGCTGCTCTTCAGTGCTAATCATCTACAAGCAAATGTGTGGTGTAATTTGGTTTCTGCAAACTTTTGAACTGTCTTAAGGAACTAAAAATGCTATACTGTATCTCATGATTAATGTAACCAAGTACCTTCTAGTCGGTGTCACTCACTGAGTTGGTCTGAATGGGAACTTGAAAAATAATATGGACAGGTGATAACGTCAGTGTGTGATTCCCTTCTCTTCTGCAGGGAATGCCAAGCATATTCTCTTAGTACATTGGTGTATGTTACCTGAAAATGATTATCTGTGACACTGACAGATAACCTGAGTTATCTATCAGAGAGTTTAGTGTAGCGTGGACAGATTTTAATTTCTCTGAGGTCTCCTAGCAGAAGACTGAAATATGCACTTTAATTATGGCAGCTGACCATTTGGAGCTTTGCTTGTTCCACTCTGCAGCATCCCAGGGGATGTTAGTCACAGGGGTGGGTCTTAACTTGAGCTTGAGATGACATGGCAGGAGGCAGAAAACTCCAAAGAGAACAGGTCTTATCCCGTGCTCATCTTCAGCTTTCTTGTGTCAGAGGTTCGAGGGGTGTGTGTGCACCTTTAATGTAGCCATAATTACAGGGATGTAACCTCTTATCGATTCATAGACTTTTGTGGATGTGTGCATGCGGTTTCTGCTAACTGATAGTTGTTCAGATGAAAGTAATGTGATAAAACATTTTGGCCTGTAGTCAGTGTCATTTACACCAGTAATGGTAGCCACTAAGTGTAGTGAGTTCAGACTACTGTGTGGAAATAGTCCTGTGCCTTGGTCATTCCCTGGTTTGCTTTGAATCTGTCTCATGTTCCTACTCCACCTTACTGGTTGAGATTGAAGTCCTGGTAATTGTGTTTATGCAGTGCAATATTATTTTTTCATATGAGTGACACCTAGGAAAAAATGTGGGTTTATTTTTTCTAAATTTAGCAGCCTGCAAGGTGGCCTGTAGATAGTCACACAAACTCAGAGGGTGCTGTATCCTGTTTTCAGTGCCTGTCCCTTGGCCAGAGCCAGGATCCAGCCACCTGATCTGATCTAAAGTGAGATGATCAGTCCCATCCACTGGGAACAATTGTATTTAACAGTGTAGCTACACCAATCCAAAAACCCTGTAGTGAATAGATTTTACTGGTGGAAGAATGTAAAATACCCAAGTGCAACTTTACTGTACTTCAGAAAAGCAGCTGCCTGCTGGTGTATGATTTAATTTTCAGGGCAGTTTAGTTGTGGGGTTGATTTTTTTGTTTTAATCCTGTGTCTCGCCTGTATTTTTAATACACTTAAAATAATGCAATGGCTGCTTTGTGTGCCACTTCTCCTGCTTTCCATTTCCCCACAGCATTCAGGTGTCATTACTGCAAGGCAGGAGGCAGAGCTCTGCTGCTGGCACTGCTGGGCTTTGGCAGGCAGTGCCTGTTGTCTGGGTAAAAAGAAGAGGGAATTTAATATTGTAGCATCCATAAAAATTGGAGCACTTCATTAAGTGAGACTGTGTAAAGATTTCTTATGGATGGAATTTACATTAATGCATTTTACTGCTCCATCTGAGGAGATCAAATGATAAGCACAGTGTCATATACACGTTTGTGACTATTCTGTTAAATAGATTTTAATACTTAATAGTGGGTTTTTTTCTCATGCATTTCAAAGCAGCAATTATTTCCAAGGATAAAGATAATGAAATTTTTCTTGATGTTCTCAAGAATATAGGGGGGAAAAATGTATTTTAAGGTGTATCACGGTAGGTGAGGAGTTCTGCTCTGTCCCATCCCACGCCTGTGTGTGTTGTCAGTGGGCCTGGTAGGAGTTTCAGCTGCAGGAAGAAATGTTCCTGTTGCTGACATTTCAGAGGCATGCTCAGAAGGGACAGCAGGAAGGAGTGTGGTGGCTGGTTTGGCGTGGGGGGTCCCTGGGGAGGGGGAGCAGGCTGTAACCCATCTCAGCTTTTCCCCTCGCGCTGGCTCTCACACGCACGCTCGCTCACAGCGACATGTGACTTTTGGCCATATTAGCAGGTTTATCCCAGCCTAGCCCCTCTGACTAACAGATGTAGGGAAAAGGGCATTCTGGGATTGCAGCAGTTGCTTTTGAACAACAATGTCCTTTTTGTAAGAATCTGATGCTTCTTAAAAGATGGAACATGACATCATTACCGTCGATCCAAGAAACATTCCTTCAATAACACTGAGTGTGCTCTGGTTATCAGCTCCCTTCCCCCAGCTCCTTTCTCTTGCTTTTCTGACATGCTTTTTGTCTATTGTTTTGTTGGGGGCTGTAAATGTGAAACAGTTGTCTTTCAGTGTTATGTGCTCACTAGAGCTGGAATCAAGTGGAATATTGTTGATATATGAAAAAGAAAAATAACAAAACCCCCACTTTTCCTCCAGCTTTCATAAATGTAGTGTGCTTCAGGTATGGGCTGAGCTAGAGCTAATTATTTCCCTTCCCACACAGTATTAGATATGGTGTTATGCAAGGGAAGGTGGGGATATCACAGTCCCGATCCTGTGCATCCCACTCGGCCTCCCTGGCAGCTGTGTGCAGATGCTGTTGTTGCAAGGCTCCTGCAGTGATCCTGCATCATAGGAAATGTGTGAGTGCTCAGCAGTGCAGTGTGGCAGAGCTGTGAGCAGCTGCATATTTTCTGTATGTGTGTATAAGTTCTTCTGCTTGGTCCAGCACTGGGATTTCAGTGTCAGCTTTTCCTTCTCCCCTGAGAGCGGGCGATCACGGAAATGCATTCTGGGTTGCATTATAAATCTCTTTGAATGCTGACTGCTTGGAGGAAAATGCTGGATTTTCCTTCCTTTCTGTGCTTTCTCTCTCCCATGCCTGTCTTCCTCAGAAAAACTGGAGATTCCTGTGGATTTTACAGCCAGGTACATCTCGGCTGTGTTTCACAGCCAGGCTCTGCAGCAATGCTGGGAGGTCTCTAACGAGGAGCAGGCAGGCTGTGGGACTTGCACATGCTGCAACTCTCCAGAGAGGAGAACCACTGAGCACAAACATGCAGGAATATGTCTTTTTCCATCCTTGCAGGAATTGCTCTGCAGGGACTGGAAAACAAATGATTCATTGATGGTCCAGAGGCTTGGAAAAAGGTGGAGTTTATAGTGTCCAGAAAGGGAGGAGAAATGGACAGGGCCTTCTGATATGTTTTTTAAACTTAGGCTTGTTGTCTTTCACATCTTCATAATGGAAATAAACCTCCAACATTTAAAAAAAAAAATTGATATATGAAATAAAAATAAAAAAAAGCACAACTCTTGGCCAGATAGATTTTTTTTTTTTTTTTGGAAAGAAGAGAGATGTGTGATTAACTGTTCGCCAGTGACAGAATTGTTTTTATTAGTGATAATTTACAGAGATTTGATAGGAAATCCTAAGACCTCCCTTTAGGAGGAAAAGAAAAGGGCTTTTTATTTGTAGTGGATTTTGGCATCACCTGTTGTAAAGATATAGTAAGATTTTAGCACAACTTAACAGTATGCTTTCATTTTGGATAGATTCCAAGACACAAAGCTTGTAGTAAATGAAAGTGAACTCATGGTGCAGACAGAAAGAATTTTATACATTCCCAGTTGTGTCTGAAGTTGCAAGTTCCTCTGAAGAAAGGGTTTGCCAATGGCCTATTGTCCATTGTCTCATATGCCAGTCACAATTTCAATGTGTGTTTGCCTCTGCTGAAGCAGAGCAGAAGGAGGAGCAGCGGGTGTAGAATTGGGTATCTCCTGTTCTGGATGCTGTTTCTCTGAGAAAGGAATTGCAAGTAAACCTCTGAAGAACAGGCACCTTGTGATAGACATCACAAAATCCAAACAATTTTTTAGGACACAGTGGGTGTAGCTCTTCAGAGGGAGGGTGTCACAGTGATGTGGACTCACTGGTGATGAACTGGTCAGAGATTTCTGACTGCTCTGCAGGTGATGGAGCAGATGCTGGAGCATGGAATGCGCCTCATTTTGTGTTTTGATTTTGGTTCCTGTCCTAGATGAGGTGCTTGACTGGTGTCACAGTGGGGCTGTGACGTTATCCCAGCACCAGGGCTGCCTGCTCTGGAGGAAGTGGAAGCTGCTTTGGTGTGGCTTGTTTGGGGCTCTTTGAGCAGAGGATAAGCAGTGAAGGATTGCAATCTTTTTCTTGCAGTAATCCATGCTGAAGAGGCTCCATTCATACAGATGAGCCAAGGGTTGAAGCAGCACTTTAAACCCAGATAGTCGGTCGGCTGACTGCCCAGCAGGATGCCATCAACCAGCCGAGCGGGCAGCCTGAAGGACCCCGAAATTGCAGAGCTCTTCTTCAAAGAAGATCCAGAAAAGCTCTTCACAGATCTCCGAGAGATTGGCCATGGAAGCTTCGGAGCAGTTTATTTTGTAAGTAGCACCAAGACTTGTGAATTTTAGCTGTGTTTCTTTTTAAACTGTGGGTGTAGACTTTTTTGAGCATAATGAGGAAAAGAAACCAACTACTGTGACTTTTTTTGTGTGGTGTTTGGGGCAGAGATGTTATCTTGTGTGTCTGTATGGTCTCAATCCTTTCACAAACTTGCAATCTCTGCGAGGTGTTTGCATACAAAAAAAAACCCTGGAAACTTTGTCCTTGCCCTTTAGGTGCATCATTATGTTGCAGGCAGGGATTTATGTGCAAATTAAAACGTGCACTTCTGCTCCATCAATTCTGACTGGCAGTGCTCTTCTCTTAGTCTGATCATCTCCTTATCACCTCTTGTTCCTTGAGAGAAATTGAGTTCTCTTCCCCTTTGTGCATACCCCGAGGCTCCCTTAAAGCCATTCTTTATGTTTGACACCTGAGTGTGGGTGCTTTTGTTGTCATTTGTCCTGTCACATCCATTCCTACTGCAGGCAAGAATCCCAGTATCCATCTGCATAATACTTACCTGACATGAAGGGATCCTCATGGCAACCTCAGTGCAGCTTGCTGTGTGCTAACCAAATATTGTGGGGCCTTCATTAAAAAACACTTTCCTCAGAAAACCTTTTCACGTTTATAATTATAGGAGGTGTGGCCAAACCTGCCAATTTTCCTTCAGAAAGCCATTTGTGTCACTATTTTATGAGATGCCTATTCAGTGTTAATAATTGCAGCAGACCATGTTGGGAACCTTCCAGCACAAATTTAATGCAGCACAGATGAACTAATTAGGAAAAGCTTCTTAATTTTGTTCCCTGCTTAAAACTATGAGCCACTGCTGTCTGGGAACAGATCTGGGGGAGGAAGTGTTTTTTAACGAAACAATACTCACCTGTGGCCTTAAAGTCACCTCACTTTGGTTAAAGAGTGACTATCAAGGGAGGGAACTGACAAATCTGTCTTCCTGCTATGTGGAAATATTATTGAAGAAATATTGTGGAAGTTTTTTTTCAGAGGCACGCATGGACCACACAGATATGGAAACCCAAAATGCAGCTGCAGATAGGCTGTGAGCTGGAAGCAAACAGCATTCCCTAACACCAGCAGGAAGCTGCCATGAGGTTTTTGTAGCCTGCCTGAACTTTGTCCTTGTGGTAAGGGCTGATGGCCCATTACCAGCTCCATCTCCAAAGCAATTGCAACTCAGAGGCCATTAATTTCTAGCCATTCTTTCTTTTTTTCCCCCACCATTTTAAAATCACCGGTTCATTATAGATCGGTATTTACTCACTATAGAGTGCAGTTACTTGCTGGCATTTGGATTGTGCTTCTTTGTCAGAAAGTACCTCCGATTTGGCACTTGCATAAAGACAAGTCTAAGCAGTGCATCACACAACCCCAGCCCATGTAGGGGCTTCATTTTTGTCAAGAGAAGGTTTCTGATAAAGACACTCTATTGCTGTTTCTGTATTAGGAAGTTTAAACCTCTAAGTTTTGTGTTGTGTCTTTTTTACTACCAATGGTTCTGAGATGTTGAATCTGAAACTGTTCCATGCAATGTGCCCCATCCTTCAAACAGAAACCCAAAAGATCAGAGTCAACATGGAGAGGGAAATTTAATGTGAATTAAATAAACATGAAGATCTAAAACATAGGGGAGTCTGTCTCTTGGGTGCTTTATTCCTCTGCAAAGCTAGAAATAAAACTTCTTAAGTTTCTTGACAAAATTTTGATTCTGCTACTGCAAACAATTAAAATTTCTCTAATTAACATAATATTGGATTATGGTTAATAACTGCTTTAAATGATACTACTGAAGACAGTGACATACTCCACTTTTTCTTTGTGCATACTTTGCCTGTATCAGTGCTGAAGCTACTCTGGCCACCAGATGTTGATCCTTTGTGTGAAGTTTTTGGAAGAAAGCAGGATATATGTGCATACATGTCTGCCATGAAACAAGCCTTGCTCATTTGGATGGTTAAAGGGAGCTGCCCTTGCACATCCTCCTGGCTTTTGTCTAGGAATTGTTTTTCAATTATCCAAGATCACAGGGAAACTAAAAAAAGCAAATGCAACTCTGTGATTTTAATATTTCTGGGGTGTCAGCCAGGACAGTTCTCCCTCTCTAGGACTGTAGGTGTTCAGCAGACTCTGTCAGGTGTTGTTTGCTTGGGTTTTCTGATGCAAAGCATCCTCTCTCCTGGCAGCTTTCATGGCATGCAGCCTGCACCAAAAATGTGGTTGATAAATAGATCTGGGGGTAATTACCCAATAGAAAATCCATATAATCCTGAAATCTCTCCTACCTAATTTAAAATAGAGTTTAGTGTTTCACTGATAGTTGTGCCCATCTTCCTTCCCTTTTAGCAGTGCTCCCACCAATGGGTGATATATATTGATCTTACTCCTGTCTCTTTGTTTCTGGTTCCTTTCATATATTTTTTTCCTTTTATAATTGATATGAATTTTCCTGGTTCACCTCATGGTTTTAGTTTCTTAGAAACTGCAAGTCTGGCACCTCTGAATCATTTTTGGTATTATCCTTACCCTACTCCCTGCTCTGCAGTGTAATAATAGCTTTTGCTTGACACAGGAAACCTACTACACTGGAACACTGCAGATGGAGCAGAAGAATAACCCACTCTCTTTTGTTAGAGCTGGGTTCCTTCTGCTTTACTGTAGTATTTTGCTTCCCTGCTTTATTGGCAGTTCTTCACACAGTTGAATGTTTCAGAGATTGTCTTTAGTCAGTAAAGATCTAACAGTCAGAATTTTATTCTTTTTTGTCTCAAACAACAAAAATAATCACACCCCCCCCCCAACTTTACAGGTACTAGCAGTGAGAGGATCCTCTGAAACAGAAAGAAAAGTAAAAATAGTATTGGTTCAACCTTGTCATAGCCAGTTGAAATAAAGACTGGCAGGGAATTCTGGGAATCTCTTTAATGAACAGCAGAATTAAAACATGACTGAAAAACCTTTTTACAAAAGGCAGAGCCCTTAATCCGTGTTCTGGTAGGCTGTGCTTGATAGTACAAATATATTAAAAATCAACATTTTCATCAGTCATCTGTGAATGCTGTGGTGCACATTATTCTGATTTATATCATTTGGCTTCGTGTCCAAGTTGATTATTATTATTATCAGAGAGACTCAGAGTTCTTTTCCTCCACCACCCTCCTGTGCTGCTGAAATCTCTAACAGAGGAAATCTGGGGTCTTATTTGGAGCCATCCTTCCTGCAAGGTGCTGCCTCTTCTCCTGCTGTGGGGAATGAGCCCTTGCTTTGGTGCTGAATTAAACAAAGCTTCTTGTCTAGTCCTTGCCTTGCATTGTTGCTGTCTGAAGTGAGGAAGTTTGCCTTTGAAGTGTGAAAAACCATGTACATTTATGGTGCAGTGTAAATAACAATACTATGAAACTGAGAAGCCTCATCTGAAGATGGGTCACTTGGATTGCTGCCATGTCTCTCTGTATCATCTGCCTTTCTTTAAGACACAAAATTTTTGGGAGCACTGGGGAGAAACCTGCTCCAGACACTGGTGGCTGTCTCCAGTGCATCATGTGACATCTTTCCTTATGGATTGAATGGAACTGGGTGGCTCAGCCTTGCTTCTGTTTCATGTGGAAAGGACCTGGGCAGGGAGAGAAGCTGATTTAGGGAAAATCCCTTCTACTTGAATCAGAGCTGAGTTTTAGTTTAGGTCACAATGCTTGACTTCTGCAGAGATTTGGTGGATGCTGAGCATGGAAAAATATCACACCTTGTCTCCCTTTCACTTTGGAAAGAAATTTCTAATTCTTGCAGCAGTCACACCTCTGGAAGATAGTTTAGTTTAATGCTCTGCAAAAGTTAGCTAAGAATAGAGATTATTTGATGATTGTGTGTGGTTTGCATCTTATGGGAAGCTGGGGCCTGAAGGAGCTGATGGATTGTGTTTTCCTGTTACAGGCACGTGATGTGCGCACCAATGAAGTGGTGGCCATCAAGAAAATGTCATATAGTGGGAAGCAGTCCAATGAGGTATGTAAAACATGTTGTATATTAAACCTTGATCATTGCAAATAATTACTATATTGGGATGGTTTTAGTTAGCTTGGGTTCCTGCAGGAGAAATATTTTCTGTGACTGTAAAGGTGAATAAGAGTACTGTGTAAATAAATCAGTTTACTGTTCCCTGTATTTCTGTGTAGTCTGCTCCTGAAAAAAGAGAGGTGGAACTCTATTCTTTCAGATACAAAGGGTTCTTTTTGGGACCACAGAAATGTGTAGACAGGAAAAAAAATGTTAAATGATGAGTTTGTATGTTAGTGTCTTACTGCCCTTAAATGTTCCATTTTAAATATGTTTCCAAAATCCAGGACAAAGGAATGATAGAAATGGATGCAGTAGTGAGAGGGAGCCTTGCTTGTTCCGAGTAGTGAGGCAGAATGCATCCCTCCCTGAATGACTGTGCTGATGAGCAGCTGAAACAAAGGCAAAAGAGTGGTGAATGAATGAGTGTGAAAATCTGAACAGCAGCATAATTCCACAAGAATTGCCAGAGCCAGGGATTAAGGCAGTCTTTGCAGAAGGGTCTGTACAAGTGGGCCTCTGGGATTCAGACATTAAAGTGTTTTCATGGCCACCCCAGATGTGTCTCCTTTCCCTGGGATGCTTAGCAGAGAGAGTTGATTTTATACTTGAAACATTTAAGTGCTAATACAGATTCTTGAAAAGCCCAAGATGACACAAGCAGCTAATTTGATATTATTTCTGGTAAATAACATCTATCAAATCATGGCATGATTTTTCAACAGAGGTATTTCTCATAAGCATGTTGTCCAAAGCATTTATGGTTCCCTCCCTCCATTCTCTATATTCCAGTCTTGGCAGCAGCCTTGCTCTGATGAGTTCAACTAACAGCTCATTGCTTTCTGTGCCTGCATTTTGTGTATTGATCATCTGCACTCCAAGGGGCTGAACTATTCCTTCCTCTGTGTGTGTGTCTGTGTAGGAGGTAGAGGTGGCAGTGTCTCTCCAGCAGTCCTGAGTTCTAGCTTCAGAGTTAAATTTGCTGTGCCTGTTTCTGTTTTGTCGCTGCGGTGACTTGTTTAACTGTGTACTGATGAAAGAATAATTTGTACTTGCTACTTGTCCTACTGTTTCAATTACTGTGAGCTATAAATACTCTATTCACATGAATGAAACAAACTGTGCATGCTTCAGAAATAGCTTTTGTTTGTCTTCAATGCGTATGTTTCTTTATTTTGAAGAAAGTAATAAGAGCAGGATTAAAACACTTTCTATTTTACATCCATATTTATTTGTTTTGTTCAGAAGTTCACTGGAGTTATGATTGAGCTGATGTAAAGAAAATTGATTAAGGGCATTCTGGTATCATTTAGTTTCATAATAAGATATTATCATTGGTGGGAAAAAATTATTCTCTCAAATAATGTCATATTTTGTACTAAGAATAGGTTTAAAACCTTTGAAAAATGTAGTACTGTGCTCTTAATGTGATCTTGGAGCTTTTTTTTTTTATGCAGGAAATCATGAATACTTCTTGACTAATACATGACTTCTCTCTTCCCAGTATAGAAATTTAACATGATGCTTTCTTGGTTTGGCTTTTAGTGCTTAGTACCTCAAAGCCTTTAAGGCTGAAGGTAAAAGGCAACCAAGTCACTCCAGTGTCAGTGAGAGAGTTTGTGCTATAGCTGCACTGTGTCATCCTATAGCAATTCTGGTGTTGAGAAATGCCTAATGTAGTCAGTCAGCTGCCTCAGTTGTGGGCTTCTGTGTTCCCTGGTTTCGTGTGTTTCTCTAACCCTAAAATTGTTATTGAGGCTTGGCACATGTTTTCCAAAGCCTTAGGGTGGATGGGCCCTCTGTCCCTCTGTGAGTACTACCCACATACCAACACGTGAGGAAGAGTGTGCGCTGAGAGATTAACAGGACCTGGAAACCAACTTTTGAGCCTTTTGGTATTGGGTTCCTCTCCCACTGGTTAACTTCACAACTGATACTCTTGCTCAAAAACATTTGCAGTGTCAACACTCTTACATTTATGGCTGCATACTTAAATGGTTTCAGCCACTGCAGTTGGTATTGAAGGTACTTTCTGTGGTTGTAGTTTTGCTGTGGCACTCTCAGACTCATGCCTTTATTACCTGAGGAGATGTGGATGTGCAGCACATGGGGGTCTCCAAGGCAAGCAATGGCAGTGTCTAGGCACACGTTGGAACTTGACATTTTGGCCTCTTCTGTGCTTTAAAGTTGCACTAACAGAGCTCCCCTTATTATAAACTTGACTTTGTTTTATCTGTTTATTTTTTTTTCTCCGACAGAATCATTCCTTTATCTAGTAGGTAACTCGTTTTAAATTGGCCCTTGTAAAGATTAAACTAGTAATAGAGAAACATTATCAAGAATGTACTCAGATAGTTGGCAGCTGCTAAAGGGAGCCTCATCCAGTGTAATATAGTGACTAGTAGGGATAGGTCTTTATAGTAACAAGAGTTGAGAGAGGCAGCTGATCCTATTGAAGGACGCTTAGCACCCACATCTCTTTCAGGTTGGGGTGTGTGTTTGATTTGACAACAGAATTGGTATCCCTTAGTAGAGGATCACTTCTTTTTTGAGGACTTGTTCAGATATTTAAATGTCTATCAGTATATCCTATGCACACATTCAAATATATAAACATAAAACATTGCATTGATGAGAAATCCTTGCATTGAACCTAATTGATCAGCAACTTATTTTGTGGGTCTGCTGAGGAGTTAAGCAGTGAATATCACAGTGTTGATACAAACTTACTTTGATTTGAACCTTGAGATAGTTTTGGCTCTTGAAATAATTAAACTACATAGTAACAACAACAAGAACAAGGTAACAGTTCTAAAAAGTCTTTCTGTTTATTTTATTCCCTATAGAAATGGCAGGATATTATTAAGGAAGTCAAGTTCCTCCAAAGAATAAAACACCCTAACAGTATAGAATACAAAGGCTGCTATCTGCGGGAGCATACAGCATGGGTAAGCAAATGCTGCTCTGCACTTCTCTTCCTTGCTTAAAGGTGCTTTGAAATCCCTCCAGCTGGATTTTGGGAGGCACCTGAGCACTGGTGTTGTACAGACTGAGATGAGCATAGCCAAGGGCCTTGCAGGTGCTTAGCAAACTGAATGTACTTTCTGGAACCAAGATTTAAGGAAATTTGCCTTTTTGCTTAGATTAAGTGTTGCTGTTCTAGTGTATTTAGCTTGATAAACTTGAGTATTTGAAATAATGTGCACCCATCACTAATAAAGTTTTGTAGTGCAATATACTAAAGAAATCATATTACTGAACTAATAGTTTAAGTTGTAAGTGCTGTTTTGTGAGTTAGCTTCAATAAATCTGTAGGGCAAAGTTTTAGCTTCTCTTTTTGAAATCTGTCTGGGACAGAATCTTAAGTAAATCCCTAAATAGCCCTTTAATACTCTGATAAGCTTGTTAAGTGCAGTTTAACATTCCTGTTAAGCATGTGCATATAAAATATGATATGTAATACAATATCTAACTGGTCATGAATGTGCTTTGGCCTTCCTTACAAGTGGTGTTGCTTGGTATCTTACAGGAGGGTTATGCTTAATTCCAGTTAGAGCTGTACTTGTGAGAGGGGTCAGTGTGACAGTGCTGGGATGGAGTTTATGGTACAAGCAATATTTGCTTTGTTATGGCAGCCTGCCCTGTGTGTTCCAGGAATTAGTTCTAGATTTCTCCATACAAGTCTAGAAAACATTTATTTACTATTACAGATTTTCTAACTACTTTGATTTCTTCCTATAACAGCTTGTTATGGAATATTGTTTAGGATCAGCATCAGACTTACTAGAAGGTAAGTGAGTCACACATGTTTATTTGATGGAAAGTCAGAAGTAGAGTACTGAACTAGGGGGTTACAGCATTACAGAATTTTCCTTGAGTTTATAGTTTTGTTTGGGGCCAGAGTGTGTATAAATAGATGCAGTTTGTCAAATTCTTGCATAGTTGTAGTGGGTTTTCTGTAGAATACTGATTTTCCCAGGTGTGCTTAGTTTCTCCTTGGCTCTTACTGTTTTTAAGTTGTCAGTCAGCTATTTGTTTGCTTCTGAGTTTTAGGTTCTCCTGCCATGACAGTTCAAGATTTACTTCTGAAAACCCTTGCTGTTGATCCTAATGCTTACTAACAACTGTAGGCCTGTTGACTAGAATAGCACTACAGCAGTGTTAGGGTTGTGCTGATGAGGTCTTTCATTAAATGGTCATTTTTCTACCAGGCTTCTTATAATGGCCTGGCTTTGAAGATTTCTGTGTGGCCAGTAAGTTGTTCCTTTCCTTGCCAGAAGCATTTCAGGACCAAAAGCTGAGCTGCCAGAATCTGATCTGTGTTGCTAAAATTTATTTGTGTGTGAATTGCTGTAAATTTCTGGGGTTTGGGGTTTCGCCTCATTAATGGAAAACTGAATCCTGAGTCTCAAGAAGTTACTTGGGAGACTGGTCACATAACTGACAGGAATGCAGTTTATGGTTGGAGAGTGGTCTCTCTGGTAGTAAATAGCTGCTGGTTTACAGTTAGAAGATTACATCTGATTATAGAATGTACTCTGTGAACTATTTTTACATTTGCTTCTCATACTGAACCCAGTGAAAATGGACTTTTAGTATTTCTGTTTACATTGTTAACTGTACTGGCTTGCATGCTGCAAACTGTATTGTTTTCTGTAATACTGAATTTCACATAAATTCTTTCCTTAAGTTCATAAAAAGCCATTGCAAGAAGTGGAAATAGCAGCAATTACCCATGGTGCTCTCCAGGGATTAGCATACTTGCATTCTCACAATATGATCCATAGGTGAGTAGTTACACTTCTGCTGTCTCATACACACTTACACATGATTTGTTTTGTTGATTGTATCCCCTCCATCCCAAATTCTACATTGTAAGCAGAGATTTGCTTTTCACAGTATCCATATACTCCAAACAAGTTATTTGTAGTAGTCTAAAAACTAGCAAGACTAACATGTAAGACAAAAGAATCCAAAATCAAGGGCCACTTTAAGCAATTAACCTAATGGTTAAAGACTTTGTGTTTGGAGGAAATGTGAATATTTTGCAGCTTGAACACGTGAATATTGGTGTGTTTCATAGTCTGTCCAATAGGGAGTTTTCTTCTTAGGAGGGGAGTAATACTGACACTTGTGTTCTATCACCAGAGATATCAAGGCAGGGAACATCCTGCTGACAGAGCCAGGACAGGTGAAACTTGCTGACTTTGGGTCTGCTTCCATAGCATCTCCTGCCAACTCATTTGTGGGGACGCCATATTGGTAAGCCAAGAGATTTACTCATTTCTGGCTTTGTGAAGTGAAAGGATCATGCATTGGCTATTTAATATACTTGGGTTTATTGGAGCTAGCTTTGTAGTCTTCCAGTTGTGGTGATGATAAAATGTACTTTGTTAGAAAAAAAAGTTTCAATAGTAAGCAGGCTCTGAGTTCCAAGAAATTATGTATCCTTGTGTTTGTATTCACAAAAAGTAATAAAAACATTTTGCTTTCTGCTTAGACTGACCTAAAGTGATAGAGGTGGGATTGAATCATCTGTAATATATTTTAATCACTCCCCCCAGTGGTTTAAACAATTCATGTATTCTCACTGTGTCTGGTTGTTGAAATAATTGAAGTGTTTTTTCTTTCATAGGAAAGGCCAGGTTCACTGAACCACCCCCTTTGCAGATCCCTTGTATGCTTTTGATCTCTTACACCTAATCTGTGGTGTTTACTCAACTGCATGTTATAATTATTTCACCACAGTTGGTCAGCCAGCTAAACTATTGGAAATGTGGGAGGGTGAGAAGGTGATGATAGCCACAAATGGAAAGCTGGGCAAGCACAGGAGAACATCACCCAGCCTCTGCAGGCCTGCACCAGTGTGGGTGCCTGGTCTTTCTCCCAGTATCCCATGGTCATGCCTGATAGCTTGGGGAATATTTGTTTATGGTAGCTGAAATCAGGGAAACAGCCTTTTCATACTGATGGAGATAATGTGTTGCACTGCCTATTTTGAGCACCAATTCCTTTTCTTAGGATGGCCCCAGAAGTGATTTTAGCCATGGATGAAGGGCAGTATGATGGCAAAGTAGATGTTTGGTCTCTTGGAATTACCTGTATTGAGCTAGGTAAGTTATTTCCTTTGAAAAAAATTAAAATGTTATTATTTAATCCCTGGAACTTGTTCAGTTGAATCACAGTGCAGAAGATTTTGTGCTCCCTTTCTTGTCCTGGTTTCTATGCACCCTGAGTTTTAGAGAAAAGAGTGAAATGTGCTTTCTAGAATTCCAGACCAAGTCTTCAGTTTGATGTTTATGGAAATGGTGTTTTCATTACCTGAAGAAAAAGAGTTATATAGACAAAGAGAGTGGCCAAGTGATATCACTAAGGGTGTTCACATTCTGTGGGAGAGGCAGTTAACTTCTGAACTGAAAAACAGTCAATTGCTGAGCAGCTTTAGAAGTGAACCATTAAAGGTACCAGTGTGGAGATCTATTTAGTGCTATAAGTTGATATTGTTTCTGTGAAAATTTAACATACACTAAAAATTTTGCAGTGATGAAGTTCTGGAGAAGTTGACAACTTCAAAGCTGTATTCAGTGTGTGTTGTCACTTCTGAATAGATTTTTTGTTCCTTAAACAAAAAGATACTAAATAATCCAATTTTGAAGTGGTAACCTGAAACTCAAAGCCTAAAGAAATGATGGCATTGCAATAGAACAGACCCTTTAAAGCTTTAAAGCAGGATGTGAGTTTAAAGGGACAGTGTTAGTATGGCATTCTGTTTAAATTTCACACATCATGTTTTCTTGGAACAAAAACACCCTGGCTGAAGCACACCATGCACACCACTGCTCCGTGCACCTGAGGCTGTCCTCCCATCCTTGTCAGATCTGATTGCTCCTGCTCCAACCCATCCTCCATGGAGGAGCACTCAGCCAGGCAGTGAGAGCTCTCAGGAACACACTAATCCATGTGAACTGCACAGTTTAGCTAAAAATGCTGTCTGGCATTCCAAACTGTCAACTTCATTTTCTTCCAGGACGCGAAATAGATTCTTTCTTCAGAGCAGAGATTTTGTTTGTTGGGGTTTCTTTTTTTTTTTTTTCCTCTTGGTTGCCAATATAAAGCAAGTTGAAGGGGTGTGACTGTCATGACAGAATCCTGCTCTGAGTGGAGTAAGGAGACTTGGCTGGCTGCAGGGCTCCAGGAATGCAGTGAGCTCATGGTCACCACACCCCCGGGAGTCCTGCACGCCGCGTTCTTGCAGGATGAAGCGTGTTGGGCTTCATCTACGGCTGCTGCCGTGGTGGGAGGTGAGACTAGGTCAGGACAGCAGAGCAGTGTAGGCTGGGTCCGTGTGCCTGGCTCATTTGTGTTGCTTTGAGTAAGCATGGGAAGGCAATAGGGAAATGAGATGTCTTGTAGTCTTCTCAAATTATCACTTAGTCTTAGAAATGGTCTTATTGAGGAACTCGGTTTCAGGGTTTCCAGAAGATTTCTATTTTATTCAGGTGAGCTAAGAGGGAAAAAAAAGGTAGAGAGAACAGTCAGTTACAATAGTTCAATGAATAATCTGTCTGATCCTTGATAGCAGCAACTAGTTATCTGACAGATTAGAGGAGGTAAAGTGCTGAATTTGAGGAAAGACTTAAGTCCTCAATCTACCCGTTCTGAGGAATTTGTAGGGCTTAGTGCATCCTGCCATAGCCATGAGTGTACCATGATCTCTGATCCATAGTTCAGTGCTGCTGTTCAACTCAGAACTGAGCAGACTAAGAAAAGCAGCATTATTTTTTTTTGTTTGTTTGTTTTGAGGAAGGAAAGTTTTCTGTTGCATTTTCAGTAGTTAGGAACATCCTCGTGGCCTGACCAGCTTCTCTGGAATGTCTATGGCAAGGCTGAGCTTTATAAAATTTGCCCCATAAACATTCTGATGAAGCTTCAATTTTGTTGTTGCAGTGAGATCATCTCCTTCCTCATTAGGCTTTCATGCTGTGTCAGTCTATAAGAGTAATACAAGCTTGAAAGAGAGAAGAGCCAAAGAGAGAAGGCAACTCTCAAAATAGTATAAAGAGTTGGCCTGTTGCTGACTTCCTGCCCATGTGCTTAGTCAGTTAAGTGTGATTTGATGGTTCTTGTAACCAGCATTTTCTTCATCACTGCTATCCTGCTAGAAATAAATATTTCTTAGCTTTTTAGCAACTGTAGATTAAAAAAAACAAAGGGGGGGTGTATGAAGCCAAGAATGCTTAGTGGCTAAACACCCAGTATAGAGCTTACTGTTAACTTACTCCTATTTTAGTACATTACAATGAGTCAGAGAACTCAACTATGATAAACCACGTAATTTAAAAGCTTGAGAGGACAAGGCATTTGATCTTCAAAGGGCTTTCATCTTCTTCAATGGCACAGGACATATGCCAACATATCTGTCTGATTGCAGGGTAGGGTTGGTTTGGGGTTCCATGTTCAGGCAGTAGGAATTTTGCTGATGTGGTTTTCTTTTTAAAGAGATGTAAACTGTAAAAAAAAAAAAAAATAAATAAAAAGAGCAACAACATGAGACTATCTCCCTATATAAAAACTTCTTTTCTCTTGTGTGCAGCGGAAAGGAAGCCTCCTTTGTTTAACATGAACGCAATGAGTGCCTTATATCACATAGCGCAGAATGAATCCCCTACACTACAGTCTAATGAATGGTGAGTATTGCTGAGGGAGGAATGTTGGAGGGGATGGCTGTAAATGGAGTGCTTTGTCATGCTGAGTTCTTGAAATGGCTGGAGTCCTGTTGGGAGGATGTGAGCTGGAAGGTTCTCATTAGATTCACTATACATTTCGTACACAAAATTGACCAATTACTAAATATATGTTTGAGACACTTCACTGTAGTAGGAACAGGACAGGCTGCTGGAAGAACTTAAGATCCTGTAAAAAATTCCGTCCATGGGTCAGTAAACTTCTGAAGCTCCCAAGCTAGCCAAAACTGTGGGGTTTAGGTTTTTTTAATCACAAACCACACTGTCAATTTCTAAATCCTGTTTTGTTGAAGTATTGCTTTGCAAGATGAAGACACAGCGTGTGGCAAGTGTCTGTTGCATAAACTTCAGAAGAATAAAGCACAGTAGTAGCATTTTGTGCCTCCCAGCCTCAACAACTGTCTTGAATTCAGCAAATACAGTAAACTAATTTCAAAAGTTAAAAACTTCCTAATTATGGTTTACTGAACCGTAGTTCTTGGCCTAGGAGCTACAAGGATCCAGATGTGAGGATCTTGACTCCTTAATGAATTAAACTGGGTTGTTAACTTAGGTGGATTTTTTCCTCTCCTTGACACAGGTCTGATTATTTTCGAAACTTCGTAGATTCTTGCCTCCAGAAAATTCCTCAAGACAGGCCTACATCAGAGGAGCTTCTGAAGGTTGGCTTGCTTGTCCTTTCTGTTTTCCATGTGGTATTAAAAGGGACTGTGCCCTGTGATGATGGTTTGTCTCACCTGCTGTACAAGGTTATGGTTAATGATGCTCAAACACCTTTGAGCTGTGAGTGCTGTGGGATGTACTGAGCTGGCAGCCCTGGCTTTGCTGCCTGTCTGCAGTGTCTCAGAGTGTTCCCCAGGTGACTTTCCAAGCCAGCCTTGGAGTTCTCAGCATAAAAGGTCACTCCACCAAGGTGACGCTGGATGACCATCAACTTGTCAAGAGTTTTAGTTTGTAAACTCAATCATTCCAGTGATTATAATTAATCCTGACAGAGCTGCTGTGCAAATACCTTTTGTTACTTCCCCCTGTGTTCTGTGCTATAGAACACTCCAAAGTGCTTTATGCAGTACCTGAAATCCACTGCTGGGGAAAAGGAGGCAAAAGAAACCAGTTTTTCCTCCCTCTGTTTTTCCTTGGCGTGAAAAAGCCTCAGCAGTCTGCAGGCTTTTTCTTGCTTTATTTCTTAGCTTCTTTTTTAATTCTTCATTTGTGCTCCTGAGTGCTGCAGGTACTTGGCTTTGCTCACTGTAGTCTGGAGACAAAGCCAATGGGGTAGATTGTTGCAAAAGGCTGGCATGTGAACAGAACTCACAGAGAAGTTGGGTGTTGGAGCTGCTTTTTTGTGTGACTGATGGATTTCCTTTGTGGCATCAGGTGGCATTCAGAATTTTGCTAACTTGTCATTCTCTTTACAGTGCTTCTGACATTTTGGGTTTCTTTTATCCTGGCCCTGCTTCTGCTAAACAGTGTTTTTCCAAATTTTTTGCATTGCAGGGAAGTGGATGCTATTTATGAAGGTTTTATCAGCACCTTTTTGCATGGTTTTACCTAAAAATGGCTCTGGGGACTTGTGCCTCTTTGAGAACTGTCTATTCAGAAAGTAAATGCAATTATCCAGGAAAGGTTTCGGTGTGGGTGTGTAGTCCTGCCATTTCAGAATTCTACAGATTGGTTTTATTTTGAGCAATGTGCTGCAATTAAAGAGAACATTGATGGAAATGAAACGTTTGGAAATGTATTCCTTCCATAACTATAGTCTGAAACAGCTGCATGCCACTTTACAGGGACAGGTAGGGAATGTGCCATGTTGGAAACAGCATTGCAGTTCTCCAAAGGAACAAAATGAAAGTAGTGGTGGTGTTAATAATGACTCATGCTTCCACAGCACATTGCATCTGGAGCCTGCAAAAGCTGCTTCTGACATACATAGACAGTTCTTGCTTTACCTATGGGTAAAATATAGCACCTTTGCAGGGAAATGTGGTGAATATCTCCAAGAGAAGAGCAGAACGTGGGGAACTGTTCCAGGACCAAGCTCCAAGGTTCACAGCCTATTTTATGACTCAGAGCTGTATGATGAATACTTGATTCCCAGGCTTTTCTAAACAAGGAAATGGGATTTATACTGAGAGTTAGCTGATGAGTTAATTAACATTTGGTTAAAGATATTAGCCAGTCTAACAGCTTTAGCTTTTATTTGGTATTTGTTGCTCTTCCCTCACTAAACCACTAGTAGATGATGTTTCTGAAGTGTAAGTTTATAGTGAGCAAGTTTTCATGGCATGTAAAATGCTATTTCTGGGTTTTTACACCTTTATTTTTTGGTACAATCATTCTGAAATCTATCTTGATTGCAAAGTCTGAAAATAATGCCAGTGTTAGCTGTGAAGGTGTTCTCCTCCTGTGCAGGGAAGAGGGCTGACAAACCCAACTAGAGCTCATCACTGTGTCCTCAAAGCATGTGCATTGGAGGCATGAGAGCCACTTATCTGTTTGTGTTCTGCAGCACATGTTTGTTCTTCGAGAGCGACCCGAAACAGTGTTAATAGACCTGATTCAGAGAACAAAGGATGCAGTGAGAGAACTGGACAACCTGCAGTATCGTAAAATGAAGAAGCTCCTCTTCCAGGAGGCCCACAATGGCCCTGCAGTGGAAACACAGGAGGAGGAGGAGGTGAGAGAAATGCTGGATTTCTTCACTGAACCACAGAGAATGAACTGTCATTTAAATAACCACAATTCAGATATTGCTGAAACGAAGGGAGGCTGTTTACACACCTGGCTGTAAACACTGTCTCCCTCTTTGTGCTTGGAATAAAGCTACCTCAAGGCACAAACAAGGACAAACAGGGTAGATACCTAGTGCTGGCAAGAAGCTGTGCCATGTGTTCATGCTTGAACAGTCAGCTTCCAGTCCTGTAAATCCTCTCTTTCTTTGCCTGTTTATGAGGCTTCATGAGGACTCTTTAGCAACTGCAGTTAACCTCTGTTTTGACCATATGTACTGAGAATGTTGTTCTAAATCTAAGGCATTGAGGTTTTTACTTGATTTATTAAAAAAAAAAAAAGAAAAACAGGTCATCAGGGAAATGGATTTCTCTTTTTTGGGTTGAATGCTGCAGAGAAGGAGACTCTGAATTCCAGTTCTCTTGTACAGAAAAGAGCCTGCAAGGTGCAGGGTCCCAGCTGAGCACTCAGGTGATTCTGGTGTCACAGCAGTTTCTGGTGACACGCTGTGGCTGATACATGATAGAATTCAGCTTGTTAACAGGCTTGCTGTTGAAAAGAATCTGACATCAGCCAGTTAATCTTGACAGGGCTGACTCTTTCTCTCCCCAGCATCCCACAAGAAAAACGTTTCATGGCAATGCCTGGAGGGTGGAAAGTGCCATGACGTGGCAGGTGGATGCCTTTAGAGAGAAATGGAATGAAAATTCCATTGGGTAATGTCCATGGGTACCTCTGGGATAGGTTTGAATTTTCTTTCTAATTCCTTTCTCCTAGGAACAAGATCATGGCGTGGGCAGGACGGGAACAGTGAACAGTGTCGGAAGCAATCAGTCCATTCCTAGTATGTCTATCAGTGCCAGTAGCCAAAGCAGTAGTGTTAACAGTCTTCCAGATGCCTCGGATGATAAGAGCGAGCTGGATATGATGGAGGGGGACCACACCGTGATGTCAAACAGCTCTGTCATTCATCTAAAGCCGGTGAGCCCTGGATTCTCACTGCACAACTTCCAAGGTGTAAAGTGGAGAGAATTTGGTGCAAAGTCACCTGTTCCCATTCCCAAGTCATTATCTGCAGTTTATATTATTGTGCCCCAAATTATATATATGAGTGTGCACTGGAGACTTGGGAAAGCGGCTGTGAAGATGGTTTATTTTTGTCAATTCACTAAAAATTATTTGACTGATGGAATTGTTTCAAAAGCAGTTTGCTTTATCTGGAGGAGTTGGAATGGGAGGTTGTAAATAGGTTTGTTTGGTGGCTGACTTCAACATGCGTAGCACTGCCTTGTGGGACAACAGGATGTGTGACTTCCCCTTTTTACCTCTTTGTTAGATAGTTCTTAAAGTCAGGGCCTACAGTAGAAGCTGAAATCAGTTCTGCAGCACTCAGCTTCCCAGCACTTGATTTGAATATTTTGTTAATGAATAAAGTGTAGGGGAAAAAAACGCAGCAGAAACCACTTCCCTGCTTTGCCTCTGCCAGATGAAGGGTGGGCTGGGGAGTGCCCTCTGAGCTGGGCTGCTCTTGCCACGGAGGGGTTATCACTCCATTTGCTCAAAGCGCTACCGTTTCCGTGGCTGATGATAGGTGTGGCTAGAATGTCTTGTTCTTTGCCCAGATATGCAACAAAGACACAGGTATTTCCTCAGGGAGTTAATTAGTATATCATATCTAACTAGTAATCGCTCTATGATGAATGACAAACTCAAAATAAGAATGTGGAATACACCATGACAAATTTTAAAATTTGCTTTGAGGTATTTCTGCAGTGGGTGTAATGAAAATATCCCTCTCTCTTTCAGAGCTACAAAGATGTTGTTTTTGTCTTTCAGACTTGATAAAATCTACTTTATAGCTTTTATGTTTTGTTGCAGTAAACTGTTTAACTCAGCTTTCACTTTTCCATTATTTTTCCTCATTTTCAGCTTTGGTTAGTAATCTTCCTCTTAGTAATAAAAATTCAGCATGAAATTTCTGAAAGCAAAGGTCGTAGATCAGAACTCCTTTTGCAGTATATACCTTCATCAGCAGGAGGATCTTTCAGGGCTGATGAATGTAAAACGCCTTTTTCTTCCTTTCAAATAAAAAGACCGAAATTAAAAATCTTTAGTAACACAGTTTCTCTCTATTCTCTGATATTAATATTTGCTAATAAGGAGGAAGAGAACTACAGAGAGGAGTCGGATCCTCGGACAAGGGCATCAGAACCCCAGTCTCCTCCCCAAGTGTCTCGCCACAAGTCTCATTATCGGAACCGAGAGCACTTTGCTACCATACGCACAGCGTCGCTGGTACGTGGAGGGCTGGTCTGGAGAGAGCTCTGCAGGAGGGCATGCTTTGAACACAGCTCTGTGCAACCCCTCAGAGCTTTCAGAATATCACCACAATATGAGCAACTTCTCAGAGCTTTCAGAATATAACCACAATATGAGCTATCTTCATTGACTGAGATACTGGCACTGAAATAATTTAGTATCAGTTAATAAAAGCTTCAGTGAGATACCTGGGCAAATGTAATTTGTGTGTATTAAATATTTTAAGTCGCAAATCCGATGTGCCCCATAGAATATGGGAAACCATTTATAATAATAAGCTGGTTTTTATTTTCATATGCATATTATGAATATTTGTGGGTGTGTGTGTGTATCCACCCTCATTGTATCAGGCTAAAAGGCCGTTATTTAGTACCAGCTTTATAACAATTGTACTGTTTTTCTGCTGGAGCCCATGTGAGCTTATCTCCTACAGCAGAATTGAGTTTTTAATCTGCTCTGCTGCCATTAGGATGTGTGCTTTTCTTTACAACAAAATCATATTTCTTAACTGAATCGTTTTCTTTTGTGGTTTGAAGACTGCTGAAAAGCAGATTAGGCAGCATTAACTTCCTCTGGCCCGATGTGGTTATCTTCCTAGGTGACAAGGCAAATGCAGGAACATGAGCAAGACTCTGAGCTCCGAGAGCAGATGTCTGGCTATAAACGTATGAGAAGGCAGCACCAGAAGCAACTGATGGCGTTAGAGAATAAACTGAAGGCAGAGATGGACGAGCACCGCCTCAGGTTGGACAAAGATCTCGAAACACAGCGTAACAATTTTGCTGCAGAAATGGAAAAGCTAATTAAAAAGCACCAAGCAGCCATGGAAAAAGAGGTAGGAGGTTATGGTTTGTCAGACCAACCCATGTTTACATTGAATTGTCCACTTCCCCTCACTGATGCAGAGATCACAGTGTGGACTCTGAGATGTCTTGTTCTCTCAGGAGCCAAGCAAATTGGTAATTAGAAAAAAGTTAATACATCACCTCCTTACACTGAGGAGTTATGTAACTGGAGAAGAGGTATGTCCTTCATGGCAGTGGGTTGTACTGAATGTTAGAATCCTGACCCCAGAAAAAACACTGAGGGTTTTCCTCTCTCTTGCCCTGTCTGTGCTGTCAATAATTGCCTGCCATTGAATGTTGTGGAAGCAGATTAGCCTGCAGAGAAATGTGCCAGCTACACTTAAATGTTCACTGTCTAGTTGTGTATGGATATGGGGGGGCTGTGCTTTTAAATAATTGATAATGAAGTGGTGCTGCCTACAGCAGTTATAATCGATTTTTGTTCATCTCTGATCTCTCAGTGGAAGGCTGAGGTTATAGTTTATCATAAGGTTTAGACTTTTTGAGGCAAGATTAGCTGAACAATAGGGCTGAGGGAATGTGGCACTGGAGGAGGACTCTGCTGGGTGCCTTGATGGGATGGGGAATGAGGAGAGAGTGAGGACAAGCTCCTCTGACTTGGACTTGTCCAGACACGTGGTGAATATTGTGGTGGCTACCATAAGGTCTGGGTCTTGAGGCTGAAATTGGACATGAGCTATAATCCATTGGGACTCAGACTGACTTGCTGCTGGATTTGCTGTAGGCTAAAGTGATGGCCAACGAAGAGAAGAAGTTCCAACAGCATATTCAGGCCCAACAGAAAAAAGAATTGAACAGTTTCCTGGAGTCCCAGAAGAGAGAATATAAACTCCGTAAAGAGCAGCTGAAAGAGGTAACTCATCTCCAAAAAGAAATGTGTGATATGGTGTGAGAGTGGTGAGCATGTGAAAATAAAAGTGACACTGCACCACAGATCTTCCACAGGATTGCAGTGAGTTCTGCATTTCATGAGCACAGTCCTGTGTGTACTATATTTGTTTCATATCTTTGACCTTTGAATAAGAGAATTAATTTTTTTAGTTAGTTGTTGGTAACTATATGTTTATGTTGTGAAAGTACAAACCTCTCAATTGTTTAATGCTGCTTTTTAGCCAGAAACATGCAAAGTTGGCAATCCTAAGGAATGAAAAAAGTTTATGAAAGGCCCTGAAGATTTTTCTCATACATTGTTGTTGCAGGTAGTGGCTATTCCCTGCAGCAGTTACTGAAGTTTCTTATCACTTAATTTTTTTGTAAGGAAAATACCTGTAAAGCACTATTAATTTTAATGGAGAAAGCTGTGTAATTATTTAATAATCATTGCATTTTAGTGAAAATCAAGATCTCTGTGAAATGCAGAGAAACTGTAGAATCAAACTTCCGATTCTTTTTGTGGAGTGACTGAAACCTTAAGCACTATAAATAATTTTTTTGAAAGAATCAACTTGTGTGACACAACTTTGGAACTTGCTCCAAAGGGAAATATTCCCAAACATAGGCATTTCCCAGGAGGAAAAAAAGGCTAAAGAGCAGCAGAGCCAAGAAAGATCTAACAAAAACTACAGTAGCGTGGGCTCTTTATAATAACATAGGATCTTTTTCTAAGTGGGCAGTAGATCACAGAGCACCAAGAAACACTGATGAAATACAGAGGAGTTCTGTCTCATTCTTCAGTTGAAATGTATCGCAACAAGTCTTAATTACTGCATGGGCATCTCTAGTATGCAATTCAAGCAAGCAGAGTCTTCTGCCAAAGATACTTTAAGCTAAGTAGTACAAATGTGGAAACTTTTAAGTTTTACCTGTGAACTTCTTTACATTGTTTCTGTGAGTTCCAGCATCTCAGTGAGCAGTCTGCCTTGATGAGTTACAGTAAAATGGGTATGTGCTCTGATCAAGCAAGGCACAAAAAATTTTCTGATGTGCTTTGTGTGGCTGGAGTTCTGTTTGAACAACAGGACGTGAACACTTTCCTTCTCTCAGTCCTTTGGGAGCCTGTAAGAATGTTTACCAGGCAGTATGGCAGTACCTCCAAGTGTCTTCAGTGTCATGAGAGGCACCCCCTCATTTTGATATTTTCAGCTGATACATAGGTCTGGAAACTGTGCACATAAACCAGTATTGTTGAATCTGTTCCACTGTGATTTGTCTCCTGGTATTTCCTTAGTGTTCCTTTCATGATGTGATGTATTTTAAAGAGGCTGAGATGGCACCAACCTTGAGAATAGAGAGTAGAACATAGTTCAGTAGTTTATTAGTCAGGTCTGTCCAGTTCATAGCCAGAGAACTTAATGCAACTATTCCACAATTAATCACCTTGCAATTATCAGGAGCTGAATGAAAACCAGAGCACTCCAAAGAAGGAGAAGCAGGAGTGGCTCTCTAAGCAGAAGGAGAACATCCAGCATTTCCAGGCAGAAGAAGAGGCCAACTTACTGAGGCGTCAGAGGCAGTACTTGGAGCTGGAGTGTCGCCGCTTCAAGAGACGGATGCTCCTGGGCCGCCACAACCTGGAGCAGGACCTGGTTCGGGAGGTAAGGGGACAGGGAGCAGGCAGAGATCAGAGCTGGTTGCACCTGTGGGAAGTGCATCTCACAGGAGCACCTAAATTCCAGCTCAAATCACACAGAAGTGTTTGTTACCACATCCAAAGTGTTTTTGTCGAACAGTGGTTGGATGCTTTGCAGTGCCATCTGGTAATCCTTGTGCCATCCAATATACAGGTTAATGCTCTATTGCAGGAGAATTGTTAGGTCCAAAAAGTCATCAGACACAACAGTTAACAGAAAATGCTTACTGTGAATCCTGTTGAGCATCTGCAACAGGAAGAAGAAAAGTGAAATGAGGAAGGAAAAATTACCGATGGCGTTGCTGTCTGCTGCTGATAAGACCAAGAAATTCTGTGGTCTGTCCTCAGATGTCTTGGAAAGAGAAATGCCCTTGTGAACAAAGTGAAATGTCACTTTGTCAACGGAAATCCAAGTAAGTACAAAGAACCTAATAATTCCCTGTGTCCTCCTGCTAGGAGCTAAACAAAAGGCAGACACAGAAGGACCTGGAGCACGCCATGCTGCTGCGTCAGCACGAGTCCATGCAGGAGCTGGAGTTCCGCCATCTCAGCACCATCCAGAAGATGCGCTGCGAGCTGATCCGGCTGCAGCACCAGACCGAGCTCACCAACCAGCTGGAGTACAACAAGCGCCGCGAGCGGGAGCTGCGCCGCAAGCACGTCATGGAGGTCCGGCAGCAGCCCAAGAGCCTGAAGGTAATAAGGGATGTAGGAGCTCTGAAGGCGCTAAGTGGTGTAGGAGCTCTGAAGGCGCTAAGTGGTGTAGGAGCTCTGAAGGTACTCTGGTGTAGGAGCTCTGAAAGTACTCAGTGGTGTAGGAACTCCGAAGGTGCTCAGTGGTGTAGGAACTCCGAAGGTGCTCAGTGGTGTAGGAGCTCTGAAGGTGCTAAGAGATGTAGGAGCTCTGAAGGTACTAAGGGATGTGGGAGCTCTGAAGGTGCTCAGTGCTGTAGGAGCTCTGAAGGTGCTCAGTAGTGTAGGAGCTCTGAAGGTACTCAGTGGTGTAGGAGCTCTGAAGGTACTCAGTGGTGTAGGAACTCCCGTTCAAGCTGGTAATGGAAAACTGGTCCATGAAAGACTAGTCCATTACAGCCCATTTACAGTGCAAGCAAAGCCAAGGTGATTTGAGGCTCCTTAACTTGAAGAGCACCTAGTGGTGATCAGCATTACAGGGTATTGCAGGCAGGCCACAGCAGCACTAGTCCCTCCTCTTTTTTGAAAAGCTCTTCTAAGCAATGTCCCTTCCTTTCTGGGGTAGTTTTAAATGCATTTAATGTTCACAGCATGCTTTTTTTTCCCCCTCCTACACCATTTTCTGATCCTTCTCTCCCCCATATACAAAAATAAAATCCGCGTTTCTGTAATGAAGCAGTGTCGTTTAAAAACAAAACCCAAAAGCTTTGTGTGGCTGTGTGCATCAAAATGAGCTTCACTCTCAGTCTTGGCTAACTCACCTGGTTAGTGTTTTTATATAAAAGCTGGCATGGTGGCAAGTGAGGAGGGGGAAGAGAGAGACAGCAGCCAAGTGCAGTGTCCTCAGGAAGCTCCTGGCACTGACCTTTGCTGTTTGTCTCCTCTGGGTTTCTCATGCTGCCCTTGTAGCTCTGGTGGCTGACCAGAATTATGGGGCCTCTGTGATTGAGGCTTTTAGTGTTTTTGTTTAAGCCTTCACTTCATCCGAAGAAGTCCAGTGGTTTATTTTGAAGTGTCTGGGAAGGGTGTATGAGGCCTTTCACAAAGCTGCATGGTACATTTCCTTTGAGGAGGCAGACTTCTTCTCTCCACCCGGTGTTCAGCTGTGCCAGTAACAAAACGAGCGTATGGCATACTGAGCATGGGGTTTCTTTGTTGTTCTACATCTTTCCTCTTCATGATATTTTCCATCTGACTTAGTTTTCACCACCTGCAAGTTATCTTCTTACAGAGAAAATAACCAACTTGAAAACACAACTTCAGAAAAGAAAAAACGATACCTGATTTGTCAATATTAGAATAATATTAAATAGTGAAAACCTGGCTTGTGTGAGAACAAGGGACCATCTGATCACTGTTGAGAATCTCCAAGGATATAGTGTATAAATAGCAGATGACTTCACAGGGAAGCTGTGCTGCACTCTGAGCTGAATAAAACTGAAGCAGCTGTATTAGGCTGATCCTTCTGAGATTAGCATGAATGAGTTCTGCCTCCCCAAGGTGATGTGGTGCAAACACGAGTGGGCAGCATGTCCATTCTCCTTCCCTGGCAGCAGGATCTGTGGTACTGTGTGCTGCAGGGGCTTGGCTGCCCTCACACCTCTGCAGACTCTGCAACCCTTCCCTTTTCCAGGGAGGACAGGGCTGGAGCATTTTGCAAGGAGCATGGAAAGCTTGCACTTTGCTTTGCATGGCTGTTCTGTGATTAGTGAAGGATTTCAGGCTTGAGCTGTCAATCCTGCACCTTTGCAAACAGGCAGTGCTAACAGCAGAGCCCTGGACAACCGTTGGGTTTGTAGCACAATCCCCTCTTTATCGAGGCTGTTCTCCAGCATTAACTCCTTCTCCTGCCTCTGACTAATGCAGGCAAGTATTCTTAATTGAATAGATAATTTGACCATTTGTTCAGTTTCTCTCCCCAGCAACGTTTTCCCTCAAGGGCACATTTCAGGCTTTCCCTTTGTTATTTAGTGAGGCCCTTTGTCCTGGAAGCAGGTTTTTAACGGTCAGTGTCTGTTCTATGACAGCACCAGAAGGACCCATAACTAGAATTCACCCTTCAGTGAAAACGGCTGTTATTATTTCAAGTGTGTTAATTGTGATGCAAATACCCTCTTGCTGGTATTTCACAATACTAGGTCAAAATGATCTTGTCAGAAGTCTGACTGGAAATCTTACCCCTCCCTTCTGTTTCCTGTTGTTAAAGCCTTTGGATTGGGAGCCTCTAAACAGTCTGGTGTCCAAGCAAGACTTCACAAAAAATGAGGACAAAATAGGTTGATAGTGTTTTGCTGTGACCAGGTCCCTGATGGGAATGTGTAACCAGCTGACACTTCCCTTAAGGGCAGTGAGAAATAACCTTAAAGGTTTCCTGGAAGGAAATAACTTTCTGTGAGATTTGGAAAGGTTAAAAGTGATGCATTCCTCTTCATGATACTTGTTTTGATTTGAATGAAACCCATCTTTGTCCTGTTCTCTGCACCAGGTTAGCAAAGTGTTATTGTTTTTTTATGCAGCAAAGTGTTCTTGGGCTGGGGGTGTTGTTTGATCCCACTGCACCTTTGGAGGTGGCTGCAAGTGCTATGCTGATCACCTGCCCTGCTGAGCCCTGAGTTGGTGCCAGGAGCAGGCAGTGGAGGGGCTGATTTGGCCATGCACAGAGATCTGATCTGCCTCACTGGTTCACATCCCAGAGCTCTTCCAACTTGCTCAAACAGGAGTCTGGTCCTGTGCTCTTTGTGCCTCTAGTGCTTCAGTATTTGGCATGGTGCCTAACAATGGGAAAGCCCTCATGTCTGATTTTAGTGATTTGTGTTTATTTATTTATTTGTTTATTCTTACCATGGTGAACTTGACCATCAATTAACCATCATCACTCATCCCTTCTGGGTTTTGCTTTGTCAGTAGTATCCCTGCCAGCCATCCCATAGAAAGATACAGAGAACTCCAGAACACCCTCCTTTTCAGGATCTTGAAACACTTAGTACATGTTAAACTTTACAGGCTGCTCTGAAGGCAGGTGAAAGAAAAAAAAATAATTTCTTCAAGGTCATACAGCAAAGCTGGATCCCAATACCTTTTCCGGGATTGGTGTTCCCCAACCCTATGTGCAATCACAGCTATGTCTCTAAGCAGCACAGAGATGTTAGCAAGTGCAAGGGGAGGAAAACTCCATTTCCAGTAAGTCTCCACTGGGACTGGGGAATTGTTTTGTTTGCTAGACCAAAACAATACTACTGGTTTGTGGTGTACATTTTTAAGCATCTAGTCTTTTTTTGGTTTCTTTATGAAAACCAGGCTCATAATATCAAGGGTTAGAATACATCTTATATTCATCAAACCCTCAATGGAAAAAGCATTGCTCTTTTTTCCTGTGCTTTCCCATGCACCAGATCTGCTTCTTTTCATAACATTAAGTGCTGTTCATATATATGTGCCATACAAGCACAGTCGTGCAAGTATGGCTTTTGGTGCTAATAAATATTAGTCCTGTCCCTCAAGAACTTTTCTTGAAAAGCAGCACCCAAGACTGGATTCAGTCCAGTGACAAATGTGAGGCTCTTTGTGCAGAGACAGCTGTATTTAGGCTGGAGCTTTGTTATAAAAGTGTCTGTATTGTAATTGTTTTGCACAGTAGCAGTGTCAAAGCAGCTGCAGCAATAGTCATTGCCTCTTGTGTATTTTGCTTCCCTCCTTGCACTGTAGATGTTAATATACATTTGTGGATTCTTGAACTCATATCCTTAATGTAATCCTAAATATCCATTTGAATGGATATTTCGCTCATTTGAAACATGCTGGTTTTTTTCTTTGTGTCCCCTCCATCTTTCCAGTCAAAAGAACTACAGATAAAGAAGCAGTTTCAGGATACATGCAAGATCCAAACCAGACAGTACAAAGCACTGAGAAACCATCTGCTGGAGACCACGCCAAAGAGTGAACATAAAGCTGTCCTCAAACGGCTCAAGGAGGAGCAGACCCGGAAGCTGGCTATCCTGGCTGAGCAGTATGATCACAGCATTAATGAAATGCTCTCTACACAAGCTGTGAGTCGCCTCTGAGGGACCCAGGGTTCCTCAGCCAAAGAGGGATGTTTGCATTTGAACCGCTCTGTATCCTGACAGCAGGCTCTCTGCTTCCTTGCTGCACACGCCATTCCCTGCACAGTCCTTCCTCTGTGTTCAGAAAGCAGAGTTCAAACCCAGAGGAAAGACCTACCACCCCCTCCAGGCAGGCTGAAGCTGCTGTTGTAGAGATGCAAAGTGATGCATCTGTGTGACCAGTGAACTGCTTTTGCATGAAATGTGGCAACATAAACATCCCTGTTAGAGCATCATTACATAGTGTGCAACTGGCTGCTTAACTCACTTAGATTTTGGTTTGCTGATGATACCAACCCAAGCATGTGCCACTGGTGGAAGATGCTCATTGAGTCATGGAGGAGTCCACAGTTTTGACTGTAAATCTGAGGTCAAAGTGTTGTGAAACTTGTGTGATTCCTCTTTAAGAGATTCCTTCTTTAAGGAATGACCACATGAGCAATGCTTCAAATCCTTGCTACAGCTTAATGTGCACTTTTCTTTGCAATTCTTGCATATTGCATCCTGCTCACATCACTTTGTACACAAATTTAACACTGAGGCAGGGTAGCTGGCTTCTTTTATGATGGGAAGGTTAAAAGTTCAGTATCATGATGCTTTTAGGTTTATTTCATTATATCCTTGTACCCAAAGTCCTGCATTGGCAAGGCTCTGGACTTAAGTCTCCTGGGTAGAGGTAATTGGTTGATCCAGTTGAATAGAACAAGAGAGCTTCTCTTTGCCTCTAGCAAAAGGAGAGCTGAGGATGTTTGCACCTCCAGCAGTCTGGTCTCTGCAGTGTGGATCGTGGTTCCTGAGGCGCCACTGCTCATCAGCATCACTTGCATCAGTGCTGTGGGCTCACTGTCACCAGTCTTTGTCACTATAGGTCCTCTGTTCAGCCAAGCCAAGTACAATAGAGACCAATTGTATTGCTAAGAAAACAATGTCCCAGCCCATTCCCCCCCCTCCCCGCGGTCCTCCCCTGGAGTGTCAGCAGTGGTTACCCCATGGTGAAACGTCTCTATTGTCTGCCTTTCCCAGCTGCGTTTGGATGAGGCGCAGGAAGCAGAGTGCCAGGTTTTGAAGATGCAGCTGCAGCAAGAATTGGAGCTGCTGAACGCATATCAGAGTAAAATCAAGATGCAGGCAGAAGCCCAGCACGATCGGGAGCTGCGTGATCTGGAGCAGAGGGTGTCCCTCCGCCGGGCCCTCCTGGAGCAGAAGGTAAAGGGAGCATGTGAGCATCCTAAGCACACTCCATATTTCAGATCCTAAATTCCACTTATCAGTGAAAGATAAACTGCTCTTACTTTGCTGTATATAGTAACACAGATCATTTGGGTGTTTGTCTCTCTGGGGTTGAAAGCTCAGTGACACATAGACTAAACTTTCTGCCAGCTGAGGCCTCCTGTGTGAGCAGCTTCTGGCTGGGATAGAGCTGCCTGAAGTGTGCCAGAGGGGGATGTGCCTCTCTGGGCAGAAGGGAGAGAGAACTGTACTGTCTGTCTCTGAGCTGGAGATTGGCTTCCCTGGCCTCTCAGAGAGCAGACAGTAACAACCTAAGGCTGGGGGCTGCAGTGTCCCTATGAAATTGTGTGTCTTATGAGCAAACTCAAGTAGCCAGAGCCACAGGTGTGGTGCATCTGCTACTCCTCAGGTCTCAGCTTGTAGTTGGCTACAGGTGTTTCTTGTTAAAGTGTATTCAGGTGTATTCAGGTGCTTCTTGTTAAAGTTTGCTGCAGGTGCAGTGCTAGATATGTGTGTAGAATTGTGAGTGACCTACACAGACCAAGGGAAGGGAAATGCACCAAAAACTGGTGAGAAGAAATAAATTGTCAGCCTTTCTCCTGGAGTTGTTTTCCCTTTGGACTTGCACTGTAAGTGTCAGCCATTGCCATTCACACAAATCCCAATTTTGTTCATCAGTGTGTAATAAATTAGGGCGATTACTCTGTGGCCTCGAGGTTCTTTACACTGAAGTTCTTCTAGGGGCTAATGGATGGATGCTGGGAGAGTCCTCAGAGCACTGCTCCACCTCACGGCCAGCGGAGGGAGCACCCCAGGGAGGCAGCACAGGCCTGCTGGGCTTTGGTCCCTGCAAGGAGGCAATTGCTCTCAGAAAATAAGTGAATCTGTGAAAGCAGAGTTCCTGTGTGTCATTCGTGTGCAATAGCTGTCTTTAGACACCACTGCTGGTTATTTTGGTCCCAGCTCCCATCACAGCCTGGCACGAGTATGGATTTATCTGGAGGTGCATTGCCCTCTGGTGGCATGAGCAGCTCAGGGAGGAGGTGCCACAGTGAGCCAGTGCTCCCTGCTCTGTGGGAGCAGCATGTATTGCAGATAGTGCTAGAAGCTGCAGTGAAGCCAGCAACTCAAAGAAACCCACATCAACCAATAATGTTGTAGAAGTTTTCCAGTGTGTACCAGGATTGAAGTCTCTGTGTGCATGGAGAACCCCTGTGGAGGATTTGGCATCAGTGATGGGGATAGGAAGCTTAACAATACTATTTCACAGAGAGAAAAAACAGATAAAAACATCACCTAGCGTAGGTTTTCATTTTGTGTCCTGATATTGCCTTAGAATAGCAAAAAAAAAAAAAATGGATGGTGCTTCAGCTTTCATAGGTTCCTGTAGCAATATGTGCAGTCTTGGCACAGGAAAATCACAGGTCATGCACCAGCAGTGAGACCTTGGTGGGGTGGCAAGGCAGTGACTCAAGGGCAAACATGTGGGTCCAGAGGCAGACCCATCATTCTTTTGCAGGGGTATTTTTTGGGAGGAGAGGTGATGTTCTGTTTTTGTAAGAACTAAGACTTGTGAGTTTTCTGGTGTGGGTCCCTCAATGATGTCACCTGGTGTTTGCTGGCATGTGCTAACTGAAGCTGGCAGCCAGAGAAAGGGCAGGTATGTGCACAAGATGAATGTCTGCATTTATATGCACAAATAAATGTGTAGCCTGTGGCAAAGTCAGTCCCTGGTGTTCAGTAATAAACCAGATTCCAGAAGTTAGTGCATGCATAGAAATCTGCTTCCTTTTCAGCAGGCTGCCCTTTACTTTTGGTGGTGCCCATCACCATAACTCACCAGAGCATGTGTGTCGTGTCTATCCCTGGAATAAGGAGGGAGTAGCCAAACCCCATTGATGTGAAATGTTGTTTGTATTGCACCAGCAATGAGCATGTCCCAAGAGTGTCTTTAAAAGAGTTCAGATTTAGTCATTTCCTTCCCACATGGCTCAGACACTTCATTTTCAGAGTGGTTTGAGTGATGTCACTTTAACAAAGTGTCAGGCCTTTCAGTGAAGTTCAGTTGCACCAAGTCCTGTGTGTTACACTGTCACTGAGGCTGAAAATGGTGACATGCTGAAGACATTGAGAAAAAGGAGGATTCTACTTAGATAGCAGGACAGGAAAAAAACAAGCAGAGCATTTTAAAGAGGTAATGTTACAGAAGGTACCTTCTTCCTCCACTGCCTTTGTGGCTTTCAGCAGGAATAGTGAGCAGGGCTGCTCAGTGCAGTCTGTCACTCACCTAGAGTAACATGCAAGTGGAGAAGGAGTTTCTGAAAGCCCCAAATGGCTCAGGAGATGACTCATGCTGGAGCAGATTGTTTCCTCAATTCCAGATGAAATTGCTTTGCATATTCCCTGACTCAGGCAAGAGAGTGCTTACAAGTACAAGGCTCTGCCTGGTGCCTTCAGCACAGACCCAGATAACACCTCTTGGCCATGTTGCTGCTGACAGCAGGGAGATGCCAGTGAGCTGTGCTGAAAGTCTTGGCTCCTGCTTTTTCCCCATTTGGTCTTTTTCACTGAGGCCAAAAGAAGCTTTTTCAGTGCTGGCAAGAAGATAATGGGTTTTGGTTCTCCACCTGACTGCAAAGATTTCAATAAGAAAGGCTTTCATCCCTGTCTGATGGGTGTCAGGAGGCCGTAGTCCTGTGTTTTCAGTACTTATAGTGCTGATCTCAGTGCCCCCCTACCAAAGTAGTCTTGGAAACCAATTTGGAACAGTCTTATGGAGGAGAAATTGGGGTTGCCAGCTTGCATATCATCTAGCTAATAATCTGCCACACAACTCAAACAGCACTGCCTATGTCCTTCAGCCACACACCCTGGAAAAAGTATCAGGGCAGTGAAATATGAGAAAACCAAATTAGGAAAGGTAGATAGGGTAGAGAGGAGGTGATAAATACATGAGCTAAGAAAATCTGGCCAGTGAACATTAGAGAGGAAGCTGAATGTGGGCTTGTGCCTTGAATCCTAGAGAAAACAGCAGTCATCATCATAATCATCATTAGATTCAGCTACAAACAGTGAAGGTCACCATAAGCTGTGTTGGCAGGCTGTACCTGTAGGCTTTCCCAGTAGGCATCTATGGAAGCTGTAGACTTTGCTGGATCTCAGAAGATTAATCTATGTCAAGATGTTGGTATCAGATTCACATCCCTCAAATTTCATGTATTCACCAGGGAACAGGGACCAACACCCTCTAACTGGTGTTCATCATGCTTTGGGCTGTGTGGGTCTTTGAGACTTAACCCTTAAAAATTCACCCTTTTGTATTCAGAGCAGACTGCATGTCCACAGATATCTGATCTAGAGCCAGTTTTCTGCACAAATCCAGGAAGAAGTCCCTCAGTAGCTGTTACAGGTCCTCTAGAGGCTGTGCCAGTCCTGCTGCTACAGACTGTCTCTTTTTTTCCTTCCTAGATTGAGGAGGAGATGCTGGCGTTGCAGAACGAGCGCACCGAGCGGATACGAAGCCTGCTGGAGCGCCAAGCTCGCGAGATCGAAGCCTTTGACTCAGAAAGCATGAGGCTAGGTTTTAGTAATATGGTTCTTTCTAATCTCTCCCCCGAGGCGTTCAGCCACAGCTACCCGGGAGCTTCTGGCTGGTCCCACAATCCTACTGGGGGTGCAGGACCTCACTGGGGTCATCCCATGGGTGGCCCACCGCAAGCTTGGGGCCATCCAATGCAAGGTGGACCTCAGCCATGGGGTCACCCCTCGGGGCCCATGCAGGGGGTACCTCGAAGTAGTGCTATAGGGGTCCGCAACAGCCCCCAGGCTCTGAGGCGGACAGCTTCTGGGGGACGGACGGAGCAGGGCATGAGCAGGAGCACAAGTGTTACTTCACAAATATCCAATGGTTCACACATGTCTTATACATAACTTAAACAATAACTGAGGGTGGCAATTCCACTGGAGCTGTCTGCCAACAGAAACTGCCTACAGACACCAGCCCAGCAGCCTCCTCAGTGCGGTGCTGACGTGTGGAAGCTGGGTGCACATGGAATATTGTATTCATTTTGTAAAGCATTACGTTTTGTGTTTACTAACTGGGATGTCATAGTATTTGGCTGCAGGGTTTTGGGGGGTGGTTTTTGGTTTTTTGTTTTGTTGTTGGTTTTTTTGTTTTGGTTTTTTTTTTTTTATGTTTTGGAGGGGTCTTGGGAGGGCATCTGAGAAATATATGCAATTAGTCAGAAGAGTTGGCTGGTGGTCATCACACTGACAGAAGGGCCTCAGACTGCCCTCATCATGCCATCCATGTAGGAAGTCTGAGGGAGAATGGAGACCTCTTCCCATGTCCATGAATTTCGATCTGCCACCCTGCAAAAACCAGGCAAGCTGCCTTTAAACCAACATCCAGGGGAGGAACAGCTGGATCTTCTGTTCCATTTTTATTTGTCATTAAATTGGATAAATTTCTAGGGTATTGCCTCTGCCAGGAGGCATTTTCAAAGAGTTGTAGGTGAGGAAGAAAGTGAGAAGAGAGGCCAAGAGACACCAGGGCTCAACAGGGCCCTTCTACCCAAGTGCGCGCTCCGTGTCGTGTAAGAAGTGACGTTCTGTCAGAAGGCACTGGTCAGCTTCCCAAGAACTCTGTAGGTAAACCTGTCTGGGGGAACAGGCTAGAAATGTTTGAAATGGTCTATCTGCTTTGGCACTCCCTGACTGTGCTGCTGGTAGCTCAGATGAGGTTGGGCAGAGGAGCGTAAGTAATGCACTTGTACAGCTAATACTGTGACATCTCATCTTAGCTAAGCATCAGAATAATTCTTGGAGCCCAGCGTAGTCCTTTTTGCTCCATTCAGAAATGTTTAGACTTTCAGCCAATCAGTCTCAAATGCCAGAGGTGTTTTGAAGGATGCCATAGTCACAAAATGCCATTGATCGGGTTTTTCATTATTACACTACATCCACCAATTTATTACCTTTTTGGCTTGTTGCAATTTCCTGTTTACATGTAGCGTGTAGCCAACTGTTGAAATGTTTAGTTGCCATGTGTACCAGGAGGAGCTGAGCCAATGACTCTTTCCCAGCTGATGACTAACCCACATCACCACTGTAGATCTTGCTGCATGTGAGGCTCCTTTTTTATTGTTTTCATTGCTGCAATACTTCACAACTTTTACAGTCCCTAGAGATGCTGTGATATTTCGGCAGCGTATCACACCATGTGAGAAGGCGCTACTTCCAGAGGGCTCATTGGAGCTGCTGTACTACTGAAAGGAAACAAAGGAGGTTGTGAAATCCATACAGTGATAAAAGGTCAGGGAGTCTTATAACTGAATGACTTTGTTGGCATCGTGTCATCCCTTAGTGCTGGGAACCAGAGATGCCCCAATGCTCTCGTGCCAGTGCCAGGACGGTGTCGCTCAGCCAGGACTGTGGGAAGAGCAGGTAGATGAAGTTTGGTTTGAGGCAAAGGTTTCCGTCTTGGGGACTGACCAGCCAGGGTTCTTTGTAAATGTTTTTCCTTGCACACTAATCATCTTGAAGAAAACACTAGCTGCTAACTCTAGGATTTGCCTTTAATATGTTTATAGGGCTCAAAAGCGAGGTTTTCCGAATGTGTTTGTCCACGTGACATATTTATATAGTAAATAGTGTCTCGCTGCTGTTCAGTACCCGACAGGGCAGCGCTCTTTCGTTAGCTAAATTAACATCCACTCCCAGTCCTCAACTCTCTGCCAGTGTCTGGTGAATCCAGCTGGGATTTCTAGCATTGTGATGTAGCGTATCACTCTAATTGAAGATGGAAACTCCACCAAAACATGTTTGAGCAGCCCCTTTGTAAGGAGTTTTATTGTACTAACAGTTGACAGAAGCCTGGGAGGAGGTGTGGGTCCCATGGAGGTACCTCTGGATGCTCCTGGGGGCAAGTGGTGACTGTGAATTGTCCTGTCCTTTCCTCTGCTATGTTTTTATGTGGAATTGGATGTTTTGGGGTCACTCTTTTGCATTGCAGTGTTGTTGAAATGAAGCGAAACTCATTTAGGAAAGGTACCTGTGTTTTCCTAGGTTTGGAAGGAGAAACAAAACCAAAATGAAAGGCCAAAATTGTATTGGGGTTCACCATGTGATTGTGGAGGGTGTGCCCAGAGCATGGTGCTAACACAGCATTTTGAGTTCAGCTCCTCTATCCCAAACAGCAGCAGCTACAGTGGGGACAGGCTATACCTGCAAGTTCAGTGGGTTCATTCTTCTGCTTCTGTTATGGTTTGAATTTGGTCAAAGTCTCGGGCTTAAATTGAGCTTCTTCAACAGAATTCTCTCAACACATCTATTTGTGTAATGTCAAGCATGACTGAATGCTGAATCCAAATGATGGCTATCCCATATTGGCTTTTTTGTATTCAAAAAGAATTGTGTAGTAACCATTTTTACATGTATATCATGTGCAGACCTGGACTATTCCAACAAGTTAATATTTTAATTAAAATAGTTTGCAAAAACTGATTCAGATCAACTGGTCTAAATGTGTGTGTCCCTGTGTGTACGTGGGGGAAGAAAAGCTGTCCCAAAACTGCCTGATCTCGAGAGGAAGCACCTCATTACACAGCTGTAGCCAGAGGAACTCAGGGTCAGGCTGTGCCTTGGAGGTATTTGAGGAGGCCCTTGGTGTTGAGAATTTTAATGTATCTCAGGTTTATTTCTGAGATACATGAACAACTGTGCACTAGAGAGATGCAAACACTCTCTGAATCAGTTTGCAAACTCTTATTTTTAAAAGTAAAGCGTTTTTAAAAGTAAGGCAAATTGCTCCATGTTGTGCTCAGTGCAGTCATGCCCTCAGTTTTAAAATTACTGTAATCTGTAAATTGTGGAAACTACTCCAGTACCTCAGCAAAGATGTTCTCTTGCATTTCTTATGTTCATATTTAACACTGGGGAACTCTTCTGTGTGGACTACTTGCAAATTTTATTGTGGTATTTTTAAATCACCAGCTTGACCCCTGAAATCTCTTTTCTGTGGTTATTTTTCTCTCCCCTCTGCAAAGACCTGAAGTTCTGGTGTAGCTTAGCCCAGAGATGGAAAAAAAAAACAAAGTAGCCAGCATTTTTACCTCTTTCTGATTCAAATTTCCTTTGATTTTATTTAAAATCAGTGAAAGGGACCATATTTTCCTTGTTTTCCATGGTCCCAGGGAGCCAGCAGCCACCTCTCCCTTCCATGTTGAACATTACGTGCTTTCTTCCTTGGATGCAGCACTGAAATGGAGGCCACAGCTCTGTTTCACCTGCATTCCCTCCAAGCCTGTGAACTTCAAGGAGGTTGAACAACTAAATACATGGTGTGATACCAAACTTTCCACAGAAAAATTTCCCTGCAGCCGTTACTTGCCTGGCTTGGGGCCAGGCTGGCATCGCTCTGTGTCCCACCCAGCCCTCCTGCGCCGGAAGAACGGGCACTGCACACTGGCTGTGACCTGCACGGGGGTGCAGCCAGGGCACTCCTGGGGCTGTGCTGTTGTTTAACCCCCCAGGGCCCCTCGCCTCCAGGCTCCCAGCCCCTCGACCCTGCTTACGTGCCATTTCTTGAGAGGCAATAAATCCTATCGTACCACTGTCTCCCATTACTCTGTTGAATACGCACATCTCTCTGGATATATATATGGTATCTCATTTGTATATATTTATATACTCTGTATGTACGTGTGTGTGGGTATAGGTGCACACACACCTCATGCTGTGCATTTCTGTCAGGGCACTTCAGTTCTGCTGTTCTTTAGCGCTCCTGTTTGTGAGCAAAAGCAGCCCCTCAGCAGGGCTCTCGGGGCGAGGGCACAGACGTGGCACAGGCTGTGCTAGGGCCAAACCCTCGCTGAAGTGCAGCCCTGGTAATTGCAGCTTGCTTTTTCTGGGGCGTGAGAGGGTAGGTAGCTGCTGTGGGTGTGCTTTGAAGGAGACCAGGGAGCTTCCTGAGGGTACCAGAAAGTCACAAGGCAGCAGAGAAGCAAACAAGATGGTTTAGCGATAGGCAAGCAGTGGAGGCGCTGTAGGGATCTGCTGGGGAGGCGGCGAGTGGGCCGGTGAAGTGCTCAGCAGGCTGAGCTCAGAGTCCCCAGCTGCGTCTCGCCACGAAAGATCACAAGCCCGGCACGGTCTTGGCTCGCTGCACCGGCACTGGCTTTTGGCATTCCTGAGGTGGAGCCGCCGCTAGCTCTGAACACTGGCTGCCTTGGCGTGTGTCTGATACCTGGAGGTTCTTAGGTTGTGTGGAGGGGCAAAAGAGAAGCTAGATTGGAAGATTTTAAGTACATACGTGTGTGCTTAGAGACTTATGGTCTATACATCCATATATACACACAGAGATGCTCTTGGTCCATTCTTTACTCTGCTTAGGCCCTGTGTGCTTCGTCGCTCGAGTCCAGCCAGCAGCGGACAGCCTTGTTCCTCTCCTGGGTGCTTGCTCTGCAGTTCTAGTAAATCTTGGCCCTGGTCTTTCTCATAGTAGAGGGGCGAGTGCCATGCTGGACACCACCAGCTCCTCAAGCTGTGAAGACCCTTCTGACCTTCTCCTTTGTCCTCTCCAGACCCCATCTTAGGGAGGCATTTGACAGTTCAGGGGATAAGCGGTTCTTGCATGTGTCAGGTCACGCATTTCCCCCAAGGACGCCCCGCAGCTCAGCAGAATGCCAACCCTGGGCTCTCTTTGTGCTACCAGAGAATTCAGAGGCAATATTCCCCCTGTCCCTTTTGGAAGGTCTCTTGCAAGTTTTTTAGGAGAGACTCGGGTTTGGTTGGGTCATTCTTACCCTCTCCCAAGGAGTAGTTTGTCTTTACCTGAGCTCCTGCCTATAGGATGTTCCCACCCCAGTGCTGGCCCACAGTGAGCCCAGAACCACGTGCCAAGGACAGAGGAGCAGTGGATACCCAGGCAGGGATGCTGGTTACTGTCCCTCTGCTGTGGTGGTTTGAGTTTGCACTTTTACAAATCGATTGAGCCGAAGTCTTTTGATGACTGTATGTCAGGCGCTTTGGAGGGTTGGGGCTTGGTGTTTACAGCCAGAAAATTAGAAAACCTGATAGATCTAGTGGTTTTAGTAAACATCACCCCACCAGGGAGCAGTGGCAGCAGATAACCCAGGCTCCTGTTGCACAATGAAGTTCAGCCAACTGGGCTGTGATGCTGCCTGCTACATCCCTGCCCCCTCCTCCAGGGGAAGGAGAGCCCTTTGTCAGCTAGAGAGGGACTTAGTAAATCGGATTTGCCAGCAAACAAGCACCTTAACCACTGAGCTGTGGGTCTCAATACTTGCACTTCACCTGAAGGCTCCCTGGTGGGGAGAAGGCAGTTTGTTTCACGACCATTAGCTCTGCACCTGCCTGGCATCCTCAAAACACCCTTAAGCCATGTCCTAGGGAAATAAGACCCCAATATCAACTCCCACTCGCCTTGCTTTCTCTGAGTGCACGCAGTGAGACCAGGAACCAGGAGGGCCGAGCCTTGCCCCCACGGATGTGAACAAACCCTGGGGGGAAACTTCTCCCCACCTCGCCCCTCCGGCCCCTGCCCCGCTCCCCACCCTTGAGTACGGGTACCTCAGAACATGCACAGTTTGAATTTTCACTGGCAATTAGTTTAATTATTGTCAGTGAAAAGAATTGTAATTATCTGTAAATATGTAGTTAACAAATTGACCTAGTTTCTGTATTTTTTAAGTTTTTGTACTAAAATTTATAGATACAGTATGTGCCAGCTAGCAAAAAGCTACTGTAATTGCCAGTCGTAGTTCAGCATGCACCTAATCCCTGAGACTTGTCCAGTGATGCTGTAAGGAATTTGTGCTTAAATATTGCAAGCTGGGGAGGCAAACAGCCACTGGCCTGGGGCTTTTGGCTTCCAGCCTCCGGCTGGGTTTTCCCTGATGGCTGTGTGGAATCTCCTTCCCTTGGGCGTCCTGTACCGCACGGAGGGCAGTGCGAGGGACAGAGCAGAGCGGTGGCTTCGAGCTTGCTCTGGAGCTGAACTCAATGGGAACCAAGTTCAGGTTCTTTGCTGCAGTTTAATACCGGCTTGTGACTATGTTTTTCAATCTCTCTAGAAATGATCTGTTTTTCCCCTTCCAACTGTTTTTGTCTTAAGCCCGAGTTCATCTAAATCTACTGGAGGAAAAAAAAAAAAAACTAACAAAAAACAACAAAACAAAAAAAGACTTTGATTTGAGGTCGTTGCCTGCTTTTGGTGCCAGGATCACACATTTCTATGGCAACTCTGAGCTCAGCAGAGTGCAGAAATCAGCGCAGGGTTGTTGACAAGCTGAAGTCGGCGGCCGCTGCCTCTGCACGGCTCCGGCAGAGCCCGGCTGTGCCTGGTGGCAGCTGCCAAGGGCGACTTTGGGGGTGCGGTGTGGTGGCTTGTGGGGGTCCCAGTGTCCCTGCCCCGGTGCAGCTGGCTTGCCCTGCAAGACCTGCTGCTGAGCGAGGGATGGGCTCCTAGGAATGGTCAGGATCTGTGCTCCGTGTCCTGTGGCAGAGGCAAGCTGTGAGTCAGTAGCTGTGCTGAGCATCCCGGGAAGCCGCGAGCAGAGGAGTCTGAGCGCCGGTGAGGCCGTGCTCTCCGGGTCTGGTTGTCCTGGAGGTTGTAGGGAATGGGAGCTTGTAAGGATTCAAGGATCAGAGAAGGAGAGGCAGACGTGCGCGTACGGGTTTGGCTTTTGGCAAGCAAACCACCCGCTTCCTTTCTTCAGCTTTTCTTCCCTCCTAACCCCCCGCAGCTCTTCCCCCTGCTTTGCTTGGAACAGGAACATTTTTTTTACCTGCCTAGAAACAGCTAAAAGATTGGGGGGGTGGGGGGGGGCAGCCCTGATGTAAATAATTAACGTTGCAAAGTGAAGTGTGTATAACATAAAAGGCTACAGCCCTTTGGTGACTTGTAAATGCTTTGAGAAGGTTGTGGTATGACGTGGAGGGGCCAAGCGACCTGCCCGGCCCCGCAGCCATCGCTGCCCCACCGCCACCGCGGGGCCGGGGGGTCGGGACAGGATGGGGGGACCCCCCCCTCGGTGTAGTGGATGGGAGGGTAGCGTAACGTGTGTAATACGGATAGGAGAAGCTGTGTGAGGTGTGTATAGTGTATATTTTTTAAAAATAGCTTGCTTGTGTTGTGAAGATTTTAAAGACAAACTTGAGAATTCTAGCCTAACTATTAACACAAGTTTAACATCAGTTACCCCACTGGGTTCAGAGCCTCTTGAATGTATATTCCTTTTTGTAACCTAAATGACCTATTCTTCTACCAGTCAGCCAGACATCCTATTTATATTTTTAATTTTATATATTACTTTCCATTTGTTTTCATTATTTCCAGCATGTTTCTGGGTTTGGGTTTTTGTTTGTTTGGGGGGGCGGTTGTTTCTTTTTGCACAAGAATTGTGTGAAGTCAAGGAAATGTTAACTCAAACCTGGTATTTTCCAACCTGTTCCCCCTCCCCTTCCTCTCCTCCACCCCTGTTGTGGTTTTTTTTTTCTTTCTTCCGCCAACAGTTTGGGATTTTTCTGGGATGGGATGCAGCGGGTGGGAGGAGGGGATGGCTCTTTTCCATTTGCAGCTTTTGTGCAAATGCCAGGTCTTTTTGCCAGTCAACTAAAAAAATGCTTCACTTGCTGGTTGCTTTAAAAAGGAAAAAAAAAATTTAAATAAAAAACAAAAAATGTAACCTTATCAGTGCGATGTAGACCCCGGCAGGAGGAGGGGAAGTGCACACCTGTAGCCACACACCTCTGGCTTTGGCTGCAAAACAAAAGCAAACCTTTCCTGGTGAGGAGGTGAGCACAGGGCAGCTGCTGCCCGACCCCATGGAGGGTTTGCTGTGGCAGGAGCGCCATGCCTTGGGCTCGCTCTGCCCCCTCGGCCGCCGCCTGCTCATGTGCACAAACCCCAGAGCTGCCTGCTGATGACAGCAAAGCTGTTGCTGCTTTTCCTCTCCTCCTCCTCCTCCTGTTCCTCCTCTGCCCCTCCCCAAGGAGGTCCAGCTCCCCAGCAAGAGCTCACCCAGCGCCCGGCCCCAGCGCCATGGCCGTTTGCTCTGGGGCATCATCCAGGTATGGGCAAGCCCGGCCGGCGCCGTGCTGTGCCACAGAGCATTAGATAGAAAAAAACACACACATATCTGCTGTTTTACTATGAACACTGGTCTGAGGTTTCCAGGCTCAGCACCACGGTGATGGGCCACGAAGGATTTAACCAGGGGAATTAAACTCCTTCTTGCTTCCGTGTCTGGTAGCACCAGCTGGTATGAGTGAATCTACAGGTGTGCGTTTTCCTTCTTGTAGAAAATGCCACGAGCACTAACTGGTAAGGCTTAATGTACAGTATATTGTCAGTATTCTGGTATTCTTCTGGTTCAACATACATTATAGCTCATATATAACCTGTATTAATTGTATAGATTGTGCATTTAAAGCTGTTACCAAGTTGTCAGAAAATAAGAGAAGAGAAAAAAAAATAAGGTCATATGTAATATTTTGTTTGTAAGTATCCTTTGTATCATAGCAAAGGAAATGTTAAAAAAAAAAATCAACTGTAATAAAGTAATTTTAGTACACGGAGTGTCTGCCTGCCTTTGTGAGACCCTGCCCCGGGGGGGGCTACCGCGTGTACGACCTCTGCCAGGTGAACACGGGGGGCTCCACCGGGGCACCCCCCCACCTGCGGAGCCGCGGCAGCCCCTTCCTCCTCTCCTCCGTCCGCAGGAACTCGGCCATGGCCCTGAAATATTCCAGCACGGCCTCGTGGGCCCAGCAGCGGCCCGGCCCGCGGCGGGGGAAGCCGCAGTGCCCGCCGTGCGGGGTGAGCAGCAGGAAGAAGTAGGGGCTGCTGCGGAAGAGCTCCCGGGGCAGGCTGCGGGCCGGCGGGCCGCGCACCGGGTCATCGGCGCTGCAGAGGCACAGCACCGGCACCGCCGCCTCGTCCGCGTCGCGCAGGGGCTCGTTGCGCTCCCAGTAGCTCTCCCAGCTGGTGGGGCGGCTCCGAGTCCGGCAGAAGAGCGTTTCCTCCAGCTCCCGCAGTGAGCGGCTGCCCAGGAGCCTGTCCGTGTCCACCACCTCGGCCAGGGCCCCCGCGTACCTGCGGGGATGGGGCGGCCGCCGTGGGCTTGGAGGTGCAGGGGTGCTGCCAGGGGCTGGGGGTAGTGGGGATGCTGGGATGGGGGCCACGGAGAATGTTAGCAGCGGCTGGGGTGTGCTGCTGTGGGGGTGGAGGGTCATAGGGGTGCACTTGGAGCTGGGGGCTACAGGGATGCTGCTGTGGGGGTGCCACCAGCTTGTGTGCCCATGGGCTGCTCAATAGTCCTGGCCCTGCACGCAGAGGAATAGGGGTGACCTCGACTGCCCCAATCCCAGAGTGGCTTAGGAGGCCCATCCCAGCCCCTTGCCAGGGATCCTGGAGGGTCCCCACAGCACAGCCCGGGTGCCATGACAACGGGAGACGGCCGGCGCTCCTGCTTCGTTACCGTGACAGCAGCATTTGCAGTGGGAACCGGGAAACAGGGAGGGGGGAGATTCCCTGCTGCCCACCCCCAGCACCCCATCCCTGCAGTACACACTGTTCCTTGCTGCACCCATCTGAGATGTGCTGCAGCTTCATCTGTCACCTGTTTGCCCCTATGTTTTGGGGTTTACCCGCATTATTTTGGCTCCCATCTGGCCACCTGCAGAGCCCCTTTGCCCTCACAAGCTCTCAGCAGCCCCCAGGGAAGTGCCCACTTGCTCAAGGCCTTGGCCCAAGGCAGTTTGCCTCCTGTCTCAGCCAGTGCTTGGTCCACTCGAGCCTGGCTGTGTTGGACAATAGGGAACCCAGAGCCCTTGGGAAGGGACAGCAGCAGTCACAGCCCCCAGCCCAGCCCTGGGCTGGCATCACAGTCCCCCCACCAGGGCCAACGGGAGGGTCACGTCCTGGGGACAAGGGGCAGTGCAGGGAGAGGGGCCAGCCCCACTCATCCCTCAGGGTCCAAAACCAAACCGGGGCTTCACCAACTCCTCCCAGGAGGAACTGTGAGACCCTGCCCCAGATCTCCCTGCTCAGGAGCCCCAGGATGCTGCGGCAGCCCCAGCCAGGCTGGGGACACACGTGGTGGCCCAGCTGGCCCCATGGCAGCCGGCTCCAGGCTGGTGTTCATTAACCAGCACATTTTGCTGCCCTCAGCACCTCTGCCCTGCACTGGGGCTCCTTGTTTCAGCAGCACCCACCCCATGCACACCCCCAGGGAAGACCGAGCGGTCCCCGGGGTACCCCCATCCACCTCCCCAGGCCCAAGAGACTGCACTGACCTGCTCAATCCCTGCTTGAGGTGGAGGAGCAGCGGCCACTCGTAAAGCCAGGGCATCCTGGCCTCAAACCAGTCGCGGCCACGGAAGATGGGGGAGAGGCAGGCGGCGGCGGCCAGGCGGCTGGAGGAGCCGCTCTCGCCCAGGTAGGCGAGCAGCAGCCCCGAGCCCGAGCCCTCGCTGACGGCCAGCAGGGAGGCACAGGGGTGCCGGCACCGCAGGTAGGTCACGGCCTCCCGCAGGTCCCCGGGATCCCCGAAGGGCTGGAGCCGGGGGGTGGTCAGGGGGCAGCCATTGTGGCCCCGGCGGTTGAAGATGACGGGGATGAAGCCCCGCTCCAGCGCCCGCAGCCCCAGCTGCAGCAGCCCCCCCGTCACCTTCCCGGCCGCGTTGGGAATGAGCAGCAGCACCGGGCTGGAGACCCCCCCGCCGCCACCCGCAGCCCCCCACGGCCCCACCAACCAGTCCAGGGCTACCAGCCCAGCGTCGGACAGCTGCAGGAGCTCACGGGCCACCACCGGCTCCGGCTCAGGTGGCTGCAGGAGCTGCCACAGCATCTGGAGCCGGGGCCAGCACGGCCACAGCCAGCGTCCCCCCCGCAGCGCCGCCGACCGCCCGAAGCTCCGCACCAGGTGCTGGGCCAGAGCCGAGGGCTTGCACAGCAGCCGCCAGTGCCCCGAGCCCTCCTCGGCCATGAAGGGGATCCCCTCCTCCTCCTCCTCCTCGTCCTCCTCTCCCCCGTCTGCAGGCACTTCCAGCCTCCCTGACCAAAGGCACCAAGCTAGGAGGGCCAGCCCCACGAGCACCGCGGCTGCGGCCACCAAACCCTCCGGGGACAGCATGGAGGCGGCAGGAGCCTCAGCCGGCAGCCCCGATGGTCGGCGGTTCGCAGAGCGATGGCGGGGCCGCGCCGGGGAAGCCCAGCCCCGGGGCTGGGCAAACAGCAGGGCTGTGCCGGGGATGGCGTGAGCGGCCGCCAGCAGGGCCAAGGGGACTGGGTGAAACGGGAGGGACACGTGGCCAAGCCCGGCCCGGCGCCGCAGGGGTTGAAGCCCCCGCAGCCACGGACCCTCCATGGGCGCAGGAGCCGGGCGCCGTGCAATGCTCACACCTTTATTGATACAAATGTACAAGGACACATCTTACAGTGGGGAGTGCGGCCCCGGCACGGGGCAGGACGCCCGGGGAGGGGTTCAGGACGCCCGGGGAGGGGCGCCCCAGTCCAGTGTAATGCCGTGGGTGGCCTCGGGGGGTACCGGCCACCCAGAGAGGGGTTTTGTGGGGAGTGGGGGTACAAGGCCACCGCCGCCACGGACAGCTACAGAGGCTATGTACAGGATAAGTTAGGGGTGGGCGGGGGGGCTGTACAGGGGGATGCAGGCACCTACCCCGCGGGCTGAGCACCAGCTCCTTGATGGCGCGGGGGGCACGAGGAACCCCGCACCTCGGCTCCCCAAAAAGGCCACTTGCAGCCACGCTCGCCCCAGGTGCCGGCTGCTGCCGGAGGGAAGGGAGACATGGAGGGTGAAGGGGCCTGGGGACATGGGGGGGACGCGGGCTGGCGCTCACTGCTTCTTCTCACGAGTGGTGATGGTGACCAGCTGCTTGGCGGCCTTGGCGATGTCGTAGGCACACTGGATGACCTGCTGGGTCAGGAGCTGGTAGTCCACGGTGGCACCGGGCTCGGGGGGCACAGTCTTGCGGCACTCGCTCTGCAGCCGGTAGGCGCTGGCGTTGAGCAGCCGCAGGGAGCTCCGCACCGTCTCCAGGGCTGGTTTCTGTGGCAGAGCACAGGACCAGCGTCAGATCATATGCTCAGGGGGCTGACAGTGTCTGGTGGGGACCACAACCACCCCAGGGACACACAGCTCCTCCTACCTTAGGGAAGAGCGATGCCATCTCTGTCACAGCCGAGTGGATCTTCTCTGAGCAGGGCACGAAGCTGGGGGCAAGGACAAAGGGTGAGCAACACAGAGGGCAAGGCCTGGTCTGGGTGTTCAGAAGGACCCTGAGGCTGTGCCCCTGTCCTACCTATCATGCTTGGACTCTTGTGCTGCCCGCAGCAGCTCCTGGATGTTCTTGGTGACCTGCTCAGTTTTGAGGATGACATCCTCCGTGCTGGGCAGGCCAGGGTCCAGCTCCCCGTCCAGCGGGTCCAGCTCGTGGGGGAAATCCTCATCCTTGCTCAGCTCCACATACCGCTTCCCCTCCATGCTGCAGGGACCAAACAACAGCCCTGGGTCAGTATCAGCCCCCTGTCCCTGTGTCCCCACGAACCCTGGTGTAGCCCCCAGCCCCACCACTCACCTGATCAGAACCTCACCAGCCTGTGTGTTGTCGTAGTCACTGTCAGTGCCGCTGCCATGCCGGTCCAGCTTGCTCTGGAGAGAAGAGGAGCAGTGTCAAGCCCTGCCCCACTCAGGCTCAGGAGTCTGCCCACCCCAAGGGTTCTTCCCCATCCCTGATACGTCACCATGTGTCGGGCACCATCAGGCGGGCAGGAGAGCAGCGGGGAGGATGGAGGGAAGGGCACCGAGGAGGCAGATGGACCTTTCCGGATCTGGAGGGGTAAAAGAGGGGAAGCCCATGCTGAACGGGGTGCAGAAGGGTGTGGAGCCGACCCCGGTGACGTGCAGGGGAGGACGAGCACAGGGGACACCGCCACCCTGCATGCAGGAACGTTCCACAGCTGCCACCCCTTGGGGAGGTCCCCGGCCTGACCCAGGGGGGTGCAGGGCGGCGGGGAGACAGGACATCCCAAAGGCCACATCCTGGGCAGGCCACAGCCACCATGTCCCATGCAGGAGCCGCCCCCGCTGCGGCCCCCTTACCCGGTACACGCTGGCCGGGATGTGCATGGAGTACAGAGCCTCGTCCTCCACCTCCTGGCGACACACAAGAGGTTACGGCCCCGCAGGGACGGGACCCAGCGCCCTGTGGGGCTGGGGGGCCTGCTGCACCCCAATACCCTCCCACCCAGCCCAGCACACTCACGCCAGGGCTGAAGGGCTGCAGCCGGGTCACCAGCTCCTCCACGGGCTGCCCGAAGGGTTTCAGTGCCGAGCCCGGCTCGTACATGGAGAAGGCCTGGCGATCCCGGCGGTGCTGGGGGGCCGTGCCCGGGGGGTGCCCGTGCTCTGGCCGCTCGCTGGGGGCCGGGGTTGGATGTGCAGGGCCGGTCTGCTGCCGGATCTGAGTGTTCTCGGCCTGCAGCTTGTGGATCTGCAGCCAGGAGAAGGGAGAAGGCATCAGTGAGGAGAGAGGGGTACGCTGAGGAGGGAGCCCCGCTGACCCCACACCCACCTCGCGCTGCAGCCGGCGCAGCTCATCGCTCAGGCTGTTGTTCACCTTCATCAGCTGCTGCACCTTGGCCTCAGAGGCTGCCAGAGCCTTCTTCACCTCCAGGTACTCCTGCAGCGTGATGGGGCCGTCTGACAGGTCGGAGGAGTCCATGCTCTGCAGGGAGAGGAGTTCAGTGTGAGGATCCCAGAGGTGGGGGTCTGGCTGGGGGTCCAGGCCGGGTTGGGGCTCACCCTGGCGCGGTTGTTGCGGGAGGCGTTGCGCAGCAGCTCCTGGTCCGTGTCCTCGTCAGAGGCGACGCTGTCGTAGTCGTGCTGGTCGTCCAGGTCACTCTGGCTCCGCAGCGAGTAGTCGAGGGCGTCTGGGGAAGGGAGGGCAGGGTGGGTGCTGAGCACAGGGCAGGGGGAAGCGCTCAGCCCCACCTCGCTGCCCTCCGTGCCTCACCTGTGGGGCTGAGCAGACTCTTCCCTTGCTGCCGGCGCTTGGCTTCCCCAAGGATGTCGATGAGCAAAGTGGCAAACTCCCTGGCATTGAACCTGGCCAGCTTTTGCCGGCCCTGGGGGCAGCAGGGGGAAAAAGGGGGTGAGCAGAGGTCTGAGTGCTCAGGGGGGTCGCGTGGCCTAGAGGGGCCCTCACCTGGTTGCGCGTGGCTGAGTACTCGGGGTTGACAGGGAGGAAGGGGACGGCGCTGCGCTCTGTCACCAGCGTGCTGTGGTTCTGCGTCGTCAGCCAGACTGCAGGAAGGCACCTGGTGTCAGAGCCCGGGGGACACAGGGGCTGCACCCCCGGACAAGCCGGCTGCAGGGCCCGGAGCCGGCAGGACGCAGGCGCGGGCGCAGGGCCAGCCTGCTGGGGCTGGGAGTGGAGCCTGGCCAGGCTGACGGGAATCGCCTCCCCCAGCCACCCAGCAGGGCTGGGGTCCCCCCATAACCCACCAACAGGGCCCCAAAAATGCTCTTCACCCTTTCAGCCACCAGCTCAGCACCCCCCAGCCCCTTTGACACGTCTGTTAGCACCCGCCCCGCCACGGAAATGGGATTACCCCCACCCTGCCACCCCCCAGCCCAGGGGCAGCACTGCAGGCTGAGCCCCCATCCCTGGGGGATCCCGGCACCCACCTCCGGCAGCACCCCAGCCCCGGCACCCAGCGGCGGCCCCTCGCGCTGAGCAAACCTTCCCGGCCGGAGGAATGAAGAAGGAGGGGCCTGCGGTCCCGGCGGACGCGTCCGGATCGGGGGGAGCGCAGGGCTCGGCCGCGGCCCCGCCGCTGCTCCTCCCCCGCGCCTCCGCCGCGCCCGCCCCGGCCCCGGGGGGCTGCACCCGCACCCCCCGCTCACCCGCGTCGTTCTCCCGACGGTCCACCTCGTCGTACACGTCCATGGCCAGCTCCTCGAAGAGGCGGTTGCTGAGCTGCAGCAGTGCAGGGGACAGTGTCAGGCAGGATGAGAGGGGCAGGCGGGACATCCCCCAGCCCTGCCCTGGCCCCCACTCACCGCCTGCAGCTTCTTCTTGGCTGCCTTGGCCAGTTCAGAGAGGTCCAGGCTGGGGGGGTGCGAGGAAGGGGAAGCAAAACGTGGGGGTTATTCCTGGCCTGTTCACACCAAACCAGTCCCCAGCTGCACCCCACCAAGACAGGGACCCCCCTCAGGCATCGGGGGCTTCACCAAGCAGGGCTGGCAGGCAGGCACAGGGGGGTGAGGGGGCGGGCGGGACCCCCCTCCCCGAGTGTCCCCCGGGTGCTGGGCTGGGCCGAGCGGCCAGGGCTGCAGGGGGGGCCCATGCCAGCAGCATGGGGGGCCCCCGGAGCCGAGCGGACAATACCTCTGTGCCATGCACTTTGGGCGCACCCTGCGCTCCGGAGAAGGCAGCGGAGGGAAGAACAGGATAAAGGCGGACGTTAAACGCGCGGGCACGCCGACTCCCCACCCCCCCAGGACGCTCCAGAGACCGGGGTCCCCCCTCAGCCCAGCGGGGACGCTGGGGGGGGACACGGGACAGGGCAGCGGGGCCACGGGCGCCAGGCACTCACCTGTCGGCCATCTGCGGGATGATGTAGTGCCCGTTCTTGTGGTCTGCACAGAGAGAGGGGCGGTGAGCAGGGCCATGGGATCCCTCCAGGGTACCCCCCTCGCCCCAGGACCCCCTCACTCACCCGGCTTCCTGCCGCAGAGGTAGAAGGCCAGCCGGTCGGTCAGCTCATACTGGCACTCCACCAACCGCTCCGCCAGCTCGTGCTGGGCTGCCTGCCTGTGGGAGGGCCGGCAGGGGTGATGCCCACCCTAGCTGGGATGCAGGCAGGGGTGACCCCCTTCCCTGCCCTCACCTGGCATAGTCAATGGGGGTCCGGCCGTTCACATCGGGCGCCCCAGGGTCGGCGCCGTACACCACCAGCAGCTCTGCCTGCAGGATCTGCCCGGCCTTGGCGGCCACGTGCAGCGGGGTGGTGCCCTTCTCCTGCGGGCATGGGCAGCCTCAGCCCTGCAGCCTGCATGTGGCATGAGGCTCCAGGACCCCCCTGGGCCCCACACCCCCTCTGGGGTCC